CTGTTATCAGAGCCACAACCCACGTTTTTCGCGGTCTCTGGGGGAAATCATGGTTGGTTTTACAGTAAAAATAGAAAAGGTGCGCCCACGTGCGATATATTTAGATGGGCAAATAATGAGGAAAATTTCGATAAATGGGGAATTGATCCCAATTTTATGTGTCAAAGCACGAACAAGAATCAAAGAGACCACAGCGGGTTTATGTATCACAGAGATTGAGCATGTGATTGTTGGTGTCAATTTCAATTTATCTCCCACCAATATTTTGGACATCAAACCCCTTCTTAAATATGAATTTCACCTAAAGCGTGGGTGTTTCGGAAAATCGCTCAACGTCACAAGATAAATTCTTCCAAACATACCAGGAAATGAAATGTTCGCTAAAATTTCCAATTCACATTCAAATGGACAAAATATCAGATTGTTATTTGTGGAACTGATCCCGGAAATGAATATCCAAAGATTTTCGGAATAATTTGTGAATTTTTATCATTTTAATCTCTGCATTGAAATGTAAAAAAATATGACAGATAAACATTCCTCCGTTTATGCATTTGCTTAATTAACATCTCAGTTAGAGCAGAGCAAATTGAAGTATCTAATTGGCTTTTCCAACTTTTCATAACTGGGCTCATTATTTGGACTCCCAATTAAACGTTTAATACATATTTTACTATATTCTATTTTCATTACAAGTACAGTAAAATCGAAAAGTGAAAATGGATATTTTTCAATTAAGAGTTTTTCCCGACGCTTTTAAACAATTAAATCTGTTAATATATTTCATAATAGGTAATTTTCAACTAACCGTTAAAATTTTGTGTTTTTGGTTCATTAGTGAATTTAATGCTATAATGCTTAAGTTAATGAGGAAAATAATTATCGCAATACAATTAAACCGCGAAAATTTATGTTATTTTTATCATTGATACTTTGTACTTTTCATAAAATATCGTAATTAAAATAATACTACCAGAATATAGCTACCAAATGTTAATTAAAGTTTTGATTAAAAATAAAATAGAGTAATACTATTAATGTGTCTCCAGGGGAGATTTAATCCCGAAAGCAGCGTTAATAAATAATATTTGGTTACCCTTAGCAACAAATACATTCATCGAGGAGTAATGAAATGCATTCCATTCAAGTTCAACGTAGAATGACATTTAAGTGATTTATACACTGTGAGCTTAGTTGTCGTCGGTTGTTCAGACACATGCCTAAATTCAATGGTGATATAAATAAAACTGTAAGCGAGGGATTTGCGAGGGAGTGAATATATTAAGCGGGTTTTTCGTGCTTTTTTGCGATTGCCAAATGAGGATAGAAATAAAAGAAATCAAGACACTTTTAACTGGATCTCCTCGATGGACTTCTCAAAGTACTCAAAAGAGCAGGTGCAAATGGTAGCTTGAGTGTGTCCATAAACTTGACAAAGAATCACATTTTTTCGTGCCTGGCTTTGTTAAATTGCGAAGCCCAAAACCGGCAAAAAGCCAACACGTTCGTCCGAAAAAAAACGAAACAAGAACACAATTATGCAAATGTTGCCTACAAAGTCAAGCTACACTTTCCTAATTTATTCAATATTAGCAATCCGCGAGGGTGTGAGGACTTGAGTGACATTGTCACGAAGGAGTCCCACATGGGAGAATGCGAAAAAGAAATATGATTTTACCCTCCAAGTACATTTTCACACCTTCTCAGACACACTGCTGAGTTGTTGCGAAAAGTAAATATTTTCCGTGCGTGCTCCTCAATTTTCCTTCCCTTCGCCTTGTTCTCCCATTGTCATGTCACAGCTTTATTGGCTCGTTTCTCTGTTTCGCTGGAAAAACGCGCCTTTGAGTGGTGCACGAAATAATCATTTTTAATTCATCCCATGACTTCTACCTGAGACGTCGACAATTCAAGGTCTGAAGACGGAAACCTTCAGAGAGATAAAGTGGATTTGTTCGGAGAAATTGAGGCCTCATTTCTTTGGAATGCCGGTGACTTTATTGATTTGCTTTTAATTGAAGTATAAGATATCTCAACTCAATAAATCAAATTCGTCAAGTCGAAAAAAAAACTCGTGTGCGGATTACAATCTTGTTAATGACACCGTGAATATTTGAGAATTCGCACTTTTTGAAAAGAAAATAAACAGAATTAAGATGTTTGTGAACATTATTAGGTACATAACAAGCGAAAGTTTAGGAACACTTCATCGTTAGCGTTCCCTTGGAGTACCTTTAATAGAATTATTAATAAATAACACAATTTTTTCTTACTCTATTTAAATGCGAAACATGAAGGAACAGTTCCTGTTTACGTGAATCACACATGGCCAAGAAGTCTTTGATAAAATAAGAAAAACTTCCAAAAATGTCTACGTAATTGATGGCCTAAACGTTAATCATTCATTGCAAAGTTTCTCAACTAAAATTAGATTTGTTGCCTGTACAAAAAGCTTCGTCTCGTTCGCCTCCCCCCAAAAAGTGGCTTAAGTGAATAACATGCTAATTGTCGGAAGATTGTAGGATTTTGCAAGAGATCTCTGTAACCTGTCTCGCGTGCAGCAATCCGCAATGGGCCCTGAATTGTGCTTTTGTTACTCGATGGACTCTATTAATTTCATTGTCGCATTGTTGCGGAGCACTATCTTGATCGTGGTGTGGCTAAATTAAATCAATTAATCAAAATAACGCGGCTACACAAAAGCACGGCGAATGGCGCGAAACGGAAAAGCCACGCGGTGAGCTGACATGGCTGAGTGTGGCGCTGAAAACGTGACAATGCGACAACCAACCCCATCGAAGGTGCGTGTGGCCCTGCAAGGAGTCGATGGCGCGAAACCTTCGGCAGAATCAACTTTTATGATGACACAACTTTAATATGTGTGAGCGAAAGCAATTTGCGCGCTGCTGTGCCTGCGTTAATTAGTCGTTTCAATTGGCCCTTTTTAATGGAGCCCTTTTGCCACCGATGTGCGCGCCAGTCAATAAAGAAAGTAACGAGTTTTGGAGGTAGTAAAGTAACCCAAAAACTTCACCTCCAGCCAATGGATTGGGGTGTCTAAAGCGCAGCTCAAACGGCCCTTGAGGCCATTCACACGGTTTAATTTATCCGGTGATTAAGTTATTTCGAGATTTAATACTATTTAGCATATATTAGGCTTTATTATTAAAAGCAATTAAGAGCAAGAAGGTAATTACTCTCGCTCATTACATTAGCGCTGATATGGTTCCACCTAGAGTAATAAAATTACACCAAATTGCCAGCCCCAGAACTGGTCCATCCCAAAGTCGAGGGCCAGCATTCGAAAAGCTCTCTGACAAACTGATCATAGACTGCTCTTGAAGTACGTGGATATGACTTGTCACCTCCTCTTCCGGGAGATTGGCAAGATCTCTATCGAGGCATTCTCTAAGGTATGCGCAGCCGCCAAGATCACTGCTGAAAATCGCCTCCGGGTGCGAAGGAATCAAGTGCTTGATCGCGTTGTGAAATCTATTTTCATACACGAATCAATTCATGTTCAGCCGCTCATGTAATTTCTACATAATTAATTACACACTGTTGAATAGTCAAATTTCTCGAGGGAAAGACAATAAAAGAATGGATTGCGGAGCAAAACGGTGTGAGTTATTTGTCTGGAATGTCGAACAAGAATTAGAATCAAGGTTGAAATTCTTCTAGGAGACTTTCAAATTTTTTTTTAATGAGAATTTATTAAGTGTCGTTGTAAAAAATCAACTGAAAAATTACGCATTGCAATCACTCAACAGAATTGTGAAATATTGCAGAATTAGAGCTGATATTTGAATTTGCGAAAAAATAGTGTTATGATTAATTTGCAATAATTGAGAATGAATGAAGCAAATCTCGTTTCCCACTGCGCTTTGCAAAGTTCAAAACATGTATTAGGTGAATTTATGTATATAATAAAAGAGAGGAATAAGCTTTATCAACAGGTTTACCGTATGTTTTTTTTACATACGTATCTTCTTGGAAATTTACTCCCTCTTAAAACACCCCGAGCATAGTAAAATATTTGCTCAAGCAATCAATATCATAATAAAAAGCAGAAGAAATATTAAATTCTACTCCATAACTTCAGTTCGGAAGATTTTATATCAACAATATACAACGAGAGAAATTCGAGGAAAGACTTAATAAATGCTTTTTCCTCTGCATTGTGCAACAATTCAATACACTTTTTTTATGTTCATTGCAAATTGACAAATTTTTCACTAAATTCATCACAAATGACAATTAATAATAATTTGCCAGAGCGTCGATGTGCAATTTGTGCGGGCGAAATTTAATAAAACGAGACACTTTTCCACTCCGTCAATCTACGGATATTTTCGAAATGCACCGTAGGCGCGAAATTGGCCCTTTATTCCTCTGGTTAATTGAAAATTGTTCGACTTAACTCGATTGGGAGTGAATCCATGCAACAATGGGCTGCGGATGCAGCATAGCGCCATAGCAATGCGAGTTAAATGGAAAATTAATGAAATCGATAATTTCAAATGCAATTGTCTCTACTTCACATTAAACAATTTGCGTGAAATTATTCTATTGCTCCAAAATCGACAAGGAATTAAAGTGAATTTTCACAGAATTTTTGGTTGCGTCGGTTGCATGCAATCGTCAGAAGCTTCCTCATTGCACTCGCGCCAAAACAACCTCACAAATAATCTTGACAATCTAGAAAGAACATTGTCCTTGGCCTTTACCCACTTTGCTACCTGTCTTCAGTGGCAACAAGAGACGCGCATAATCGTTGAATCGATGGACGCAAGGAAGAAGAATCACGGCATTGCTCTTGAGCCTCGAACACGAACACAATTTCCCAGGTAGGACAAATGGAGCCTTGAGTGGTGAATCCCATTCCCACGATGGCGACAAGGGGGCTCGCGAGATGACGCGTGCACACAAAATAATTGCCGTCAACCCAGCGGAAAACCCTGTAATTCAGTTGCGGTGGTATTATATTCGATTGCCAAGGGTGCATTTATGCGTGATTTATTAAAAGAGAAATGCCTCCAGAACTATAACACGTAGATATTACAGCAGAATAATCGATTGGCTAACTAATATGCAAATGCGGTAAATGCAACAAGTTGCACTCATTTGCCTTTTAATTTTTAAAGGCCCCACACTTTAGCCAAGACACACTCTGCCAGGAAACCTTACAAATGCAATCGCCTTCACTGGCTTTTATTGAATTGTCATCAAAACATTATCAAAAATCGCTGAAAAAATGCAATTATTCAACACGCTGATGGTCAAAGACACGCTCCTGAGGCTGATCCCACGGCCTATCGATCAACTTGAAGGAGAATTTGGCACTTTGGCTGTTATCATCCTCGAAATCCGCCGTGACGTGATAGAGAATGCCAGCAACAACTTGCTTCGTCGCATGAACAACCTTCTTCAACCTGCAAAAACGCACAATTCAGTACAGAATTCTTCATTTATGACTCAACTGCAATCTCACTTCAAATTCCCTCCAACGAGATTGTTGATATTTTCTCTTTGTTCCTCAATCAAGGCCAAGAATGTTTCATTAGATTCGTGGGCAAAATGCTTATGACCACCAGGGATTCCCTGAAGGAAAAATGCACAATTTTCGTCACTGAAAACATTCACAGGATAGTGTAAATTATGGAAATGCTTACTTGATCACTTGAGGGAGGATTTGCAGACGACATTCTCGAGATTCAAGTTATTCGATACCACAAAAACTTATCACAAAGAGAGACAATCAAACACTGATTCACTCCGTTGTTATTTTCCTCTTCCACTGCATTGCTGGCATGCAAGAAATTACACTGTTAGCAACAGACTGGAAAGATGAGCATTTTGAGGATTTTGAGTGTGATTGGAAGCAAGTTCCAACGATCTTTGGCCAAAAGAATTGGAAATTTTCCCACCCCTTTTTTTCCTTTAAGATTTGTTTCTGGATCCCAATATGTATTGGTAATCAAAGATTTCTGTTTTACCATATCCTGACTGTACAAATAATTTACTCTTATTTAAAGACCTCTTCTATTCCATTCTTCCTGCATGGTAAGCCGCGAAGTCAAGCGCGAAATAGGATAATAACATAAAAAACAGCTTTTACATGTCGCGTGCCTAGAAAAATCGTCATTGTGCGCCCCAATCGCCCTTTTGGCGCTATCGAGCGCGCCAAAGATGTTACAAAAAGTGGCAGTGAGATGAAATCGATTGGGGGAAAACCACAAAAATTAACGAGTTGGTAAATTGGCTGGAAGCGTGAAATCGGCACCCCCTATTGTTCTGCACAAATTGAAAAATACTTTCATAGCCAGCAACACGTTCCCATGCACAGGCCTCGCGTCCTCGCGTCCTCGCGAAGGGGTGAAGGCGCAAACAAAGACTTGGGTGCCCCACGGAGGCGCGATGTTTGGCTTTTCTTATCACCATGACAATGTTCTTAGCAACACTGCCAATAAACGCACAAATATTTTCCTCATCGATGTGAGAAAATCTGATTTGTCGTGACGAAAAATGTCTCACAAGTGTTCCGTGTACAGAAATTCCTGCATTCGCCCGCCCGTGAATCCGGCCAGTCGAAGACCAACGCCACACTATGAGCGATCGTCCAGTGCAGAGACGGCCACTGAGGACAGGAAGATTGAGGAGCTCCATGGCGGTGGCAGGAGTGAAAAGGCTGCGCTGTGTGAGGAGATTATCAAGGAAAACAGTGCCTTTCAGTCCCTCATGGATTTCTACACAAACATTCCAGGTGAGGGCATTTCAAGTGAATTCCAGGGGAAGACATTAAAGTTGTCTTTTTGTTCACAGACTACGGAGACTTGAATCACTTACCCGAAGCGGAATTCTATCGACAAATCGAGAGGCTGAAACTTCGTCAGGATGAACTGAAGAAGAGCTGTGGCGTAGATTCTCTGGTGGAAGAAAAATGTCAAAAGCCCAGCGATCCTCCAGAGGCAGTTTATGAGCAGAACCCAAGGGACTGCGACAGTGACTCCTTCTACTCCTCCATCCAGCGTCCTTCTAGTCAAAACCGCAGCAAAAAGTCCGGGAAATCCGTGAGAATCAACAGCGGCTTGAGCACTTTGCGATCTGACACAACTCACGGAAATCTCTCTGAGGAGGAGAAGAGTGGCAGAAGATCCAAAATGAGGAGCAAATCTGCGAGTCCCTTTCGCAACCAAGTCACTGTGCCGCGACCTTTTAGGATGACCCAGCGCGAGGAGGAAGAGAGAATGCTGGAAGACCTTATGATGTCCACAAAGTGCTTCACTCCGCGTGAAGAGAAGAAATCCGATCCCAAAACCTTCAAGGCCAATCCAGTTCCTCTAACATCACGCATTCCACTGTACAACTCCATCAGAGCCGATCAGGAGCACAAGAGCCAGCTGGCCAAATTGAACTCCTCCATAGAACTGCAATCGCAAATGAAGCCCTTCCATTTCACCGACAAGGAGGAACGCCCAAGGAGTCGATGCCTCAGCAGGAGTGTTTCTTCGACGAATCTAACCACTCCCGACACATCCAAGTCGTCCAAGAACTTCCGCGCCAAGCCCTGTCCCAAGAATCTCTTCAGCAACTACTTCTATAACAAAATGTGGGAGGATGAGTACTTCCGGAATCTCAACAAGAAAATCAGGGCTGAGGAGCTGCTCAAGATTGCCTCTTTGCCGCCTTCGATGGCGCGCAGGGAGTCAAAAACGCGGGGGGATAATCAGAGAAACGGACACACGCGGAGAAGCAGGAGACGGACAAAGAAGAGAGCAGCGAATAGGGAGAAAAGCCAGCCCATCTGTGATCAAGGAAAGGAACCCAAAGGGAATCCCGGGAAAGTAAGACTCAATGTGCTAATTATTTTAGGTGGAAAATTATATTTCGTTTCGTTTCTTCCAGTGCGCTGTATCGCATTCTGGCCATAGTTCAAATAGCTCATCATCATTCAGCTCCCCGATGCCAATCTATCCTATCAATCGCCCCAATCTGGCGGCCACCCTTCGATTCCAGCACTCGCGACAGAAATTGCGAGAGCTCAACAAGCCCGAGAGTCCACCGGAACACTTATCGAGGCAGCGCCACATGGACTGGGGTATTCGAAGGAATCCCGCGTGGAAAGCCATTTACTACGAGTAAGTTATCGGCATAATCAGTGTAAATGCCTCATTAAGCAATTATTTCAAATAACAGTGGCACAAATCTGGAAGATATCGCAGTGCGCGTCGCAACGAGAAGGGCTGAACAGAAGCTCTTGGTGGAGGATCACAAGATCAACATGGAGCTGATGAAGCAGCGTGTCCGAGCGGCTCCGCTGCTTCTCGAAGGCTCTACGTATTGGGGCCCAAAGGTCGGTCAGCTCAGTCACACCTGCGCCATAAAAGAGGATCCAGCGCCGCGACGGCGCCGACCAAACTCCACTGGACCCCAATCGCGCAACACTAGCAAAATGAGCTACTACTCAGACATGCGGAAGCCTTCGCGAAAGTGTCCCCACGAGGACTTGCTGTAGAGCCTTCGGAAGGGCAATAAAACACTCCTCTTGGTCATTTAGGAATCAAATGGTTGTGTGTATGTGTGATTATTACAAAAGATACGAAGTGCGCTTTCGAGGAGTTGAAATGTGTGTTAGATACCTTATGAAGGCGGAAGAGTGATGGTTCTCACTTCGGAGTTCATCTGCATGAGTCGCTGGTTGAGGCGCAGATTGTGATCTTGGAGGAAACTTATGAGATCTGCCTGCTTCTCCAGCAGCTCTGCCACATCAGCGTTTCGTTGTGTCAATCCCACCGAACTGCCACTGTCGAAGGAGCCTCGCATGGCGTCCGGCAGCGGCCTGGCGCGGTTGAAGCGCATCACCCGGGAGATGTAGGTGCCATGGATGACCGCCAGGACGCCAGTCTCCACCGCCGAGAAGATGCTCACGTAGACAATGGGCGAGAAGAGGCTCTGGATGCAGTGCTCGCCGAAATCATCGCCGTAATATTGCTGGATGAGCGTCTGAATCGCCATGATTGCCGTGTTCCACAAGGATACCAAGTAGAAGGGCACGGATTTGTGTACCGCAGTGGCTCTGTGAAAGTCGTGGAAGCCATTCATTCGCAATTTATCGTGATGATACTTTATCATGTGGTCGAAGAGCTGCAAAAGAACAACAAAGAAAGTGATTATGATTGATTCTGAAATGGGAATTTGGGACAAACTAAAATTCGAGCTCAGGAATGAAATTTCGTTGAGAAAGTATGAGTCAATTTTGTTAATTGTGTCAATGAACACCTGGAAAACCGGGAAAATCCAGAATAATCTCAAGCATCTGCAAACATTCCTTACCAAAGTCACAACCCAGAATATTGCTCTTAAGTACAGCATCAAGAAATAGGCTTCGCATCGCTGACTTTCCGGGAAGACAACAGCCATGCCCACGCCAATGAAGGAGATCAACGTAGAGACCAAAAGGTGGAAGCTGAGGAAGGTAAAATACGTGAAAATCTAGGAAAACTCATTCAAATGCTAAGAGCTAACCTAAAAACCGGGATTGTCTTGAGTGGCCTGAAATTATCATTGCCATTCTCCTCCCCAAGCACAGGTTCCAAGTCCATTGCTCTCTCTCTCTCTGTGTTTGTCCCTGAAATAGAGTAATAAAGAAAGTTCTGGTGAGGAAAATTCCCAGAAAATGCTCTGTTTACGTGACACTTCAGCAGCTTCTCTCTTTCGCTTATGTGATTCCCCGAATTTTAAGAGCTAAAGTAACTCACCTAACTTCTGACAACGCCTGATTTGTAGTTTATTGAAGAAAGCAACTCTTTACCACCCAAAATCTCGCCTCTGGGTTGTCTTTTGCGATGCGATAAAAAATTATGAATCACTTTCGTGAGCAAAAATAAAATTCCACTCGTCTCATCGAAGCCCGTCAAAACATTGAATTGGCATGATAGTTGCACTGGAAAGTGCATTTGTTGTGACAGTTTTCCAGCGGTTTTTGGCTGTTCAGCAGCTGCTCGGTTTCTCGGTGAAAACTCAATGATTTCCTGAGAAAATGGGCTTTCTCACGGTACTGAAGAAGATGCGACAGAAGGAGAAGGAGATGCGAATACTTCTGCTGTGAGTTTTGATGTGGAAAGTGGCTAAAGCATGTTGTTCTAACCTTTCTCTCTTGCTTTCCGGTCGCTCACAGAGGACTGGACAATGCCGGAAAGACCACAATTCTCAAGAGATTCAACGGGGAGCCAATCGACACGATATCCCCAACTCTGGGCTTCAACATCAAGACACTGGAGCACAATGGCTACACCCTTAACATGTGGGACGTGGGTGGGCAGAAGAGCCTCCGATCGTATTGGCGGAACTACTTCGAGTGCACGGACGGACTTGTGTGGGTGGTGGACAGCGCCGACCGGATGCGCCTGGAGACGTGTCGTGAGGAATTGAATGTGCTTCTCACTGAGGAGCGTCTCGCAGGCGCCACGTTGTTGGTTCTCGCGAACAAGCAAGATCTTCCCGGAGCTCTCTCTGCGCAGGAAATCAAGGAGATCCTCCAGCTGGACAGCATCGTGACGCATCACTGGAGTGTGGTCGGCGTGAGCGCTGTAACGGGTGATAAACTCCTGGGAGCTGTCGATTGGCTGATCGGAGACATTGCGAAGCGAATATTCACGCTGGAGTAAAATCGCTCTTGCTTCTTTTATCATATTTATTTTTATATAAAAAATAATACATAATACACTCCTAGAGACGAAAGAAATGCACAAAAGCGCAAAAAACTCAGCTTTTGCCGTTTATGTCACTAATTGTAATATCACAAGAGGTAGTTTTGTGAAGATGTAAAAGAAAAGACTGCTTAGACGCGCATTGTGTCCAGAATCCACTTCATGTAATTCGCCACGCGCACGTAAACGGCTGGTCTGCCATTGGAGACTCCACAGCTCTTCAGACCAGCCGACACGATGCCAAATTGGACATAGCGCTGACCACGGACGTTGCCTGGATACACGAGAGGACCCTGCAATTGATAAATGATAATGTCAGTGGACTGCCTTGAATTGCATTGCAAAACACGCGCGTGATTCTCCTTCTTGTCATCCATGAGAATAGAGAGACACACGATAAATTGAGCAAAAAAACACTGCGCAGTGACTGAAAAACAGTTAATTCCTGAGTCTTAAAATCTTTTTCCATGTGATAATTCAATTGACATTTGCTTCACTTAACTACTCTGACTATTTTTACAATTTGCCAACGCGGATGACTTAGTTTAGTTTACAACATTAAGGCCCACATTATCATGTGACTCAGAATACCGCCCATGGTTTATTCTTGCGGTTTGCAGCAGAATTTTTTAATGGTGAATTAATTCACAGTCTGTTTACACGATATCGTTGAGTCACATAAAGTCACCTTTTCAAGAGTGAAAGTGTTTTAGTAAATTTTTGTATTTTTCAATCGATATTGAACCACAAAGAAATCACAAATGAAAAATGTATCTTCAACATGCGGGCATTAATTGAAAATGTGTGATCAAGAAACCTTGTGACTCAATACACAACTTTTGCTGTGAATAAAACATCAATTTTGCATAAATTAAGTCTTGAATTAAGTGCTATTCTCTGATGATACTGGTTACAAGACTTGAAGATAGGTATTAAAACTCAGGGGAACAACCGATGGAATACCACGCCAAGTTGTGAATCACACACATTGCAAAAGTGGGCAAATATTGCGAAATTATAGCCAACTCACCCCAGAATCTCCCTTGCAAGTGTCCACGTTGTTCTCTCCGCCGGCGCAAAACTGATTGGGCGTCCACTGGAGGCTGAGAAAGACACTCTGGCACATGGAGTTGTCCACCACGGGCAGTCTAGCCATCAGCAGTTCACTGGACGTTGTCTGATTCTCCGTGGTGCCCCAGCCCATGGCCACGAGGCGATTCAGCGGCTTCCTCTGCAGCTCTCGCGTGAACGGCAGACACACTGGTTTGATATTCTCCCTGTTCACATCCGCACGATCCTGCAGGCGAATCAGGCCGATGTCATTGGCGAACTTGGGAGTGTTGTACTTGGGATGCGGCAGCAGCAAGTCCTTCAGGATCTCCTGAATTGGCGGTGCGCAGATCTCCTCATCTCCAATAAGCTGGCAATCCGGATCAGAGCGATCGTCGTAGTCTCCCAAGACCACCGAGTACACATCCACTCCGCTGCGCAGACGAGTGATGCAGTGCGCGGCGGTCAGGACGTAGCGATCGTTGATGAGAGAGCCTCCGCACCTGAAGCTCAAGCCACCGGCGTCCTCATACCTGATCCGCGCCATCCAGGGATACTCGAAGAGAGCGGCCTTCTCTCCAAAGGCCAGTTTATCGCCCAAAATCGGGCCGCAAATGGTGTTTTGCAGGAGAGAGAGATTCGGATGACTGGTGACGTCTGGTGGCCCAGTGGGAACCTCATTCGACACCGTATTCTGCGTGGTCGTCACTGTTTGGATTGGAGACGTTGGAGGAGAGGAACTTGTACTGGGACGGCGACAGCAAACCGCAGGCTAAAAGAACCAAAAAAAAAACAACATATAATTGAATGAAAAATTGACCTTTCCCCGATTTTGAATACACGCAGTAATAAATTAAGCGGCACACACGTGTTTTCAATTTTTCAAAACACCGAAAACACCTCAAAGGCAGAGAAAGAGAAACGTGTGGAAACGCATCAATGAAAAAATATAAAAGCTTCTCCCAAAAACACATCTTCTCTGCACGTTTAGTGGAGTGACGAAAAAAAGGTGACGACCGCAGGCGCGAATCCAAGATGTAATAAACATCTTTGTCGTCATCAATGGCCACATGTGGCTCAGAAAAATTACTTGGACAATGCCAAATGGCGTTTTTCGTTTATTTTTCCGCCACGCGAAAGTCAATTTTGGCACGTAGCGCGATAATTTTTGGCTGCAGAGTAAACAAACCCATGGCAAGAGTGGCCAATGCAAGAGATTATCAGAACAATTAAGGTCAAAGAGGAGAATTTGCCAGATTCTTCCTTTCCTCGTGTGATAATTTCTGGAGGCGTTTTTGTGCACGAGTTTGCCAAAAATATTATCAAGCTATTAAAGATACATTAATGTCTTCTCGGAAAAAAGGCCCCAATTTACAGCCCAAAATGAGATACTTTACTAAAACAACTAAAAATGTTCAACGCTTTACATGCCACAGAATATAGTGTAATTACTCACGCAAGAGACAGATTTCCCAAAAACACATACAACTGATCTTGAAAAAAATTTAACTACCCTTTTTAAGTGTTCTTGTATTCTACATTGATGAAAAAAAAAATATCTCTAGGAAGATAGAATTCACAGAAAAGTAGTGAGAAAAATACTTCCTGAGATTTTAGATTGAAATCTCTTGAAAACAAGTGCAAATTGGTTTTATTCTTCAAAGAAAAAATCCCACATATATGAATAAAAATTAATAATGCCCGTTTAGAAAATTACTGCAGCGCATTCTCACTTGGGTGTGCCAAATGCAGAAGTAGTGAGTTGATAAATAAGCAGAATGGAGGATTCATTAGAAAATGCGCTGCATTTTAAAGTCAATTAAAGACCAAAAATTATTATTTTTCTATGTGTGTAGAAGGAAATATTAAGATGCAGATCTCTACAGTTCAAATATTTGACTCTTCAAGCAAAGACAAAACATCTCTTTTTTTTTCGAGATTGTCTCGCAAACAAAGACAGAATGGCATTTCTTGGAATTTCATTAACACATTTCGCAAAGAGGGAAAAAATCTTTAATGCATCGGACAGATAAGTTCATTCACTTTCTATCTCTCCACTTTCTGGGCATTTCTTGATCGTGTGCGTGTAACATTTTCTCACTCTCTCAAGCATGCTCTAAATATAGATACACTGGGAAATCTCCAGCAACGTTCTGGTCTTTCCCAACATGCGCGGATCGAGAGAGAAAAAACTCTGATAAAACTGTCCTATCTCACTAAAGAGGTAATTGTAGGTCTTCACACAACACACATGAGGTCGCGAGGAGGGAGAAAAACGTATTGAGTCGCGCGACGAAATGTGGCCAACCTTGAGCTATCTTCACGCATCGGATCTGCGATGGAGGGACTCACCTGGCCAGTGGAGTGGAAGCACTGGAGTCTCTGCAGGTATGTGACAATGTTGGGCGGCAGCGGACGTGGGGCATTGTTGAAGATGCCCAGGATCGCCGGGCACTCCTTCACGGGCGTGCAAGCGGCCTGATAGCCCTCTGGAGTGGTGCACACGTCGCTTTCTAAAATGAAAAAAAAATTGAATAGAAGAACATGGGGGATTAGATGCGTGTCAATCTCCAGGTCACCATCGCAGAAATCGTCAAATTAGCAATGCGATGGGGGCAAAAAATTTTTGAGAGGAACACAATAAAACCAGTTTGGAAATTGGATGGTCTGAAACATCGCTCGGACAACCAGTTGCTGAGGTCAGGAAAGGTGTGAAAACAGTGTGTGATTGGAGGAAAAAGCGCACTTACGAGAGCGAACAGCAGCGAGAATTGGGAGGATCACGATAAGTTTTAGCAACATTTTCACGCACTTTTATCTATCTCGTCAGGGTGAGCTTCTTGGCAGCGGCAAACGAAGCGATTGAATGTCTCGCGACGATTGAATGTTATAGACTGACTCGGACGCTGGACTGTTGACGAAGTGACTCCATCCCGAAGTGGTGAGCACACTTTTAAGCTGGCTGGCAGTCTCGGTGGGGATCCAGCGGAGTCCACAGCGGAGTGAGACAGAGAGTGTGCCTTCGGTTGCGCCGAGAATCTGGAAGAGATGACACGAGAAGAGATTACAGCAAATGAATATGGTAAAATCTGACCGAGGCATGTGGGTAATCCCCGATTCAATTGAAAGAGCCCAGAGGTGCATATCGATTTCCCTCTCTCTCTCACTCACTCTCTCTCTCTCTCTCTCTCTGTCTGATTGGTGGCGAGGGAAGAACTCCCCATTGACCTGGAAGGAAAAGAATTCGCATTAAGGCACTTACAAGTGGCACATCATTTACACACCTTTTTGCGTTGTGAGGAAAAAACACTAGTAAATTCCCCATTAAAAAAAAAACACTCTGCACAATTAAGTGAGGAGATTCCCAACGAAGAACGACGGGGACAGCAGAAAAAATATCACAAGTCCACTGATTTTACTCCTCATTGTGTATTTTCTCTCATCATATCTTTTAGTAATAAATTATGCTCCTCTGTCGTATTTTTCTCTTCACTTCTCACATGTATAATATAAAACTACAAATGTTAAAAAATTAATCAAAAATCAATATTCTTTCTCCTCTTTCGTCAATCGAAAAGGTGCTCAAAGAGAAATCAACTCTATTGTAATACATAAAGATATTGAAAGAAAAAAACATTCAACTAATCCTACAGTTAATGTTAACTTATACGTACAATTTCCTCTCCACTGCAATTATATTCTATATACTATCAATTTATCTCCGACAAAACACTTTAAGCAACTTTTCACGTGAATATTCTTATATCTTCATCTCATGTTCAGTTAAATTTTGAAGCTAAATCTGATGTGAGTACAAAATTAAACAATTCCTCATCTCTGCCACGCTTCACTTATCTCCATTCTCGAATACAAATATTATTGTTTTACAATTATTGTCGATATACAAATTTCCATGCAATCTTTTCTTCTCACTCTGCATTTTAAATGTTTTCTCTTCTACAGCTTTAAACTTTGCCATCTATCCAATGATTAAATGCAGATTAAAAAGTTCGAGTCGAAAAATTTTGGTAGAAAAATTCAATTGTTCAGCAGTATAAAGGGAGAGGTATTCATTGATATTTCTTGGAATTACACTTTGGATTAACAAGTGACCAACTAGAGTCTACTTTCTGGTATAAAAAGAACGAAAAAACTAGTAAGAGAAGCTAAAAATGTATGTGTGAAAACTCTTATTCACTTCCCCACTCATTATTTCTATCTATCTATCAATATATTTTGAACGCGTGATTCACTCAAAAACCACACGCGTAGTAACAAGATAATAAGTATATTTCTATTTTATTCATAAGAAGAAATGTATTCTTTCCGATATAATATTGAAGCTTTTTGAAATAGTCATCTGTCTATATGCGGACACAGTGAAGGGCTGAAGTTGAAGACTTGGCAGTGCATAAGATTTCGGTTTTTTTTCTCGGATATAAAACTTCGCTAATACTCTTTTTCAAGATGAATGAAGTTGGATAAAAACTGTATTTTATGATTATTTCCTATTTTTTGTTTGCCTATCACTGTATCTCAAGATTATTGTTATTCTTCGAAATTGATCTTATTTACAAGATAAATATGATTGTATAGTTTGCATAAACTCCTTTGTTTTTTTTATGTAGCAACTATTGTTTGATAAATATTGGTCAACTTATGTCCATCTCGTCACAATATTTTCCTTCATTGCTATGTTACTTTATAGAAAATTGTACTGATTTTCGAGCCTTTGTTCTGCACAGTCCGTAAAAAAATCATATTACAATTTTAGAAACCATCATTCTTAAGACAATAAAAAAAACACAATTAATCAAACTCTACAATATTATCTTCTTATAGCATATTGGTAAAATGTGTAAAACAAAACTAAGATCTGGATTATTTCATACAAATTTGTAGATTTTGCGCATGTTTTAGAGATAAAAAATTTGTCTATCTAAAATGTAGTCAAATATTGGATTTGTTTCTTTTCTTTCTTAAGGAGAAAATTTTCTGTACTTCACCATTAAAATTGTTCATCATTGCACAATCTTACTTTCTATATAACTTTAAAATTGTAGCGCAAATGTTCCTCACTTTAGATTTAGCATTCTCGAAACTATGAACAATTTATGTGAAAAAATTTCCTTATCCTCTCCCTCAATTGAAGGACTTTCTCATAGCATGCATTAATATGTTTACCATGTGAATTGCTCTACAAGAATAGGAAATACCATTGAGAAGAGAATCCCCGAGAAAATTCCTGTTATCAACATAGCAGCGGCAAACATTCCAGCTGTTACCGCATATCGTGGCTCTACATATTTGGATGTGTACATCATCGCCAAGGAGCTGAAACACCACCGGCAAGTGTTATCAATTTTGGGTCAAGCGTTTAGCATATTTTATTCACTCTCACCTCAAGTATCCCGAGCTGAAAGACATGACAATGGCAATGCCCCAGTAAACATAGTCGTTTGTAATGTAGACAGGCAGAATTCTGTCAATTTTCAACGGATGATAGTTGCAGAAGAGGAAGAGGGGCAGGAAGACAGCTCGCAAGATCACCGGCAACACGAGATACTTTGGGCTTGGCTGAAAGATAGACAATCACATTTATTTGTACGTCATTTACGGTCAGTTAAAAATCCCGACCTTCACACACTATCAAAAAACTCACCCAATTAATCCAAGAGGTTATCAGACTGCCCAACATGGCGCACACATTAAATGTGAGGAAACATGTCACGCTCACAAAATACTTTTCGGGAAGGATAAATCCATCGTCACTCATCTTGATATCAGAGTGAACAGCCGGAAAGACGGACAGCGTGATGAAGAAGACGAAAAAGACATTGAAGAGCTGTGGGAAGCATTGTCTGAAGATCTTAAAGTACGGCGGTCGTGCATTCACATCCACACCAGACGACTTGCTCTTCTCAAACTCCTTCTCCTTCAGCATCTCGTGATATCTGTAGAATTTCTGCAATAACAATTGTCACACACACACATTAGTTGCATTCTCCGCGCCCACACTCAATGGCATCAGCAAAGAAAAAACTCACATTGAGCGGCAGAGCGAAATACGTGTCGAAGCATATCAAGAGTACAAACATTGCGGCGATAAAGTAATAAATTGCTGCAGTTCGCACGGATGATGCAAAATTTTCACTCAATATTGAGATGATGGCGGTAAAAGTGCCACTGATATTTGATCCGAGAACTACAGCTCCAGTGTACTTTATCGGCAATTTCGCCGCTATGCCATAAATGGTATTCTGATACACACCACCAGCCACTGAAAGAAGGAAAGAAGCAGTGAAATTTTAGCCGCGCATCCACCAAATGCACACCGAAGGAGACTCACTGTTCAGAATAACGACAGACACCATTGTTATCCAGAAGAAGGCACCGGGCCATGCCGATGAGTCAATCATGGCGAGGGCAACAGTTAGAACAAATATGATCACTTCAATGAAGAGACTCCAAACGATGCGACTCGTCAAATTGCCCCTGGAAATAGTAAGGAAAAATCAACATTATTCACAGTAAACAGACAAAACGGACAGAATGTCAGTCAACATCAAAGAAAATCTTGTTCAGCACATTGAAAGTGTCTAAATTAATAAGGTCGTGATAGTAAACAAAGGCTCTTATCAGTGATTAAAGTACAACTATATTTTGCTTGCAGTTTAGAAGCAAAAATTGCAAGATTACATCGTGAAATATATTGCCATATTATGTGAAGTAGAAATTCCCATTGTATTTCCTGACAAAACCAATCATCATCTCATCGCAACGCATCTCGCAGTTTCGTCTCTAACATTTAGCATCGCAAAATAGGTTGAAACAATACGTCTTATACATATTTGCCGACACGCTTCTAAAGATAATCTCCCGTGATGTAACGCAATTTTCAGCCAAGTCATCTGCATTAGACCTATTTTGATAAGCTTTGCGCCTCTTTGGCGATGTTTTTTTTTTAATTCGCAGCATCTCTACAAGACACGCAATGTTCTTGGCATTCTTGCAGATGACAAATCATGGAAATATTCTAGCGAAACCATTTAAGCAACATGTTGAAATGCCTTGGGAAAGCCGTTCGTAGGAATTCCAGAATCTAAAAGCCATTGCGTTAGGAATTTCCCTCGCTTCTCGGATAAAAAAAATTAAGTTTTCTATGTTGTCAACACGTGATAATAAAAGTCTATCATCTGATAAATCCGGAATATTTGGTCAGTTTTTTTTGGTGAGGAAAATTCAAAAATCAGTTGTAAAACTCTCGGGGTTTTTTCACTTCTGAGAAGATCCAAAACCACAAGTTGGATTAAATCGCCGATGTCGGGAGTCTCTTGAACCCATGATTCATGATATTACGATTTATAAACGAACAGGGTATCATTAATATGATATTAATGATTGCTGACTCAATATTTATGAATTATTTACAAATGTCGCAAGTGTTATAATTTGTTCTTTCGTCTGAAGATTTCCCAATTAATTGTTCTCAGAATTAAGATGCAGCTTCTCTCATTTATCTTTCTTGTGTCGATGTTTAGGAATAAATTTCAGATAAACAAGTTCTGAGAAATTCTGATAACGCGAAGTGATACATTTGCAGAAATCATCCACACATTGTGTGTTCTGTTGAAACTCACCCAACTTTTATGAAAATGTTAATCCAGTTGAAGAGCAAATTGGGAATTTGCGCTGCAAATCCTAAATATGCTAAGAAGTTTGAAGCATAGTCTGACTGCATTCCAGTGTAGCTCTCTGACATCTTATAAGACACAAAATACTGCAACGAGAGAGGCGCGTGATTGTTATCATCATTGAAATTGTAGAGCATGTTTGTGGGATCAATTTACCGATTTGGCAGTGATAAACATATTCCAAGGCATTAAGGTACCAATACCATGAAGAACGAGTGTTAGAAATACTAAATAACATCTGTCATTTGGCGGATTTATCTCCATTGTGGCGCGTTCCATAGTCATGCCTGTTTGCAAAATAAATAAATCAAATTGGTCCTAGTTTGATGAACGTCACTCACATTTTAAACCATTTCATCACACATTCTCTCTCTCTCACTCTCGCTCAACAAATTTGATTACACAGCGCAGCTTCTTGTGGCGCACATAAATCAAGTTATTACTTTTTCGGCACTGTCGCCCCTCACTTACCTTTGAAATTCAATTCATCGTTTGGCAAATTGCTCTCCTCCCAGGCGGGCGTTAGACGAACTGGCTCATTATGCGTGATAAATGGTGTTCTCTCGACTTCTGAACTGCCGTCTAGAGGAGACATTTGTTCGCCCCCCAGAAAAGAAATAGAAGGAATGTGATCAGAATTGAGGCAAAAGGCACGTGAATATGGCAGATGATTCACTATTAATTGCAAAGACAAATAAATTTGATCAGCGAAACATGAGGTAAAAAGAGAGTTTCTCTACACTTCTTCTCGTCTCTCCTCTACACACACGTGAGATGGAAGAAAAGAAAAAACATAAGAGAAGAGAGACCATCGAACAGAGAGACATCCACAGTAGAAAAAAAATGTTTACAAAATAATTAAACATTCTTTGTCGATATTTCGTGAAAGTGTTATTTATAGAATTCACTATTATAACGTAATTTTTACGGCTTCCCATCTTCTCTCACTTGTGAGATATACAAAACAATCTCATCTTGATTGATTTTCACTTTCATAATATCGTCAACTTCCCCAAAAAAGTTACAAATCACAGTCTTTTAATTATTCTTTCTTCTCTAAACAATTTACCAATTACGAAAACACAGCTTAAAATCCTACAAAAAAAAATTCCTTCTTTAACTACACTCCACCCGAAGAGGCGCTAGATGAATGGAAAATGGTGCTTCTCGTGCTTCTGCACGTTAGTGTGCATCTGAGAAATTTCCAGGGGAGAAAATCCACACCAATACATCATCTCCTTATACATAATTTCACGTTAATAATCATTTCAATCAAAAACACTCGCAACGGTAATTAATGTCTGAATAATGAATACAGATAATTTTAGTAATAACTACCAACGATTTTCATGTTAGACAGCATCTTACCACCACCATTAGTTCATGTCAGACAGATTGCTATTAATAATAAATAAATCGTCACGTTCAATAAAAATCGTTACAACAAATTGATAACAACTAAGAGCGTGTGCAATAATAGAACGCTTAATTAAGGAGATTACAAAAATATCGCAAATTCATAATTCACCCTTCTTGATAAGGTATTATAATGTGTTTTTTAGTACCACTCGTAAAACATTTTACTTTGATAAGTATTAAATAGACTTATGAAGCTATATTTAGCTCTGTGAAGCTTCTGAGAGCTTAAAAGTGTATTAAGAGCATTAAGAATATGATTTTTATATCAAAATAATGCACATTATCTCTTCAAATCGCGCTATCGAGTGTTTTTATAAATGATTCAATATGTTATAAATTTTTTCAATGTCTGACAGAGTATTTAAATACGAGACGTAGATTTTTTTTCTTCTATTCTCATCACACAAAAACACCAATAAAGAAGTTGAAGCGTTGTATTTCCGCAAAAACATGACGAATTTGACTATAATGGATTTCATGGCGTTGAAATAAGAAGATAATTCTCGTTCGAACTTTTGTTTGCAACTATTTGCACGTTTTGGTAATCATCAATGGAACAATTTATGGTTTCCAAACAAATTTCAATTGAGCATTTTCACCAAAAATACTCACAATTCCCGAGAAACCACATATAAATTTAGAATAATATAAACTGCAAACTACAATGATTCAACAAATGTTCAAGAATAAACATAGAAATAAGAGTTCTTTAGATGAAAACTAAATAATAAACAGTCTAGGAAAAGACATAGAAATTTAAGACAATGTTCCTTACTTAATTCGCGTACAATAAAATATCCAATTTCCCTGACGGTTTGGTCTGCAATCAAAGAAATACGAATAGAGACAAACGGTGTAATGGAAAAGTTCAAATCTGTATTGATGAGTGGCCGTTTTTTTTCTTTTCCTTCTTCTTTCACAAAAATCCAGTGACTTCAGTTGCAATTGCTGGAAGGAATTCGTGAAATGCGTCTAAATGTCTCCGTCTCAAGACCCTAAAAGCTTAAGTCACACTGCTTTCAACACACATTCTTTTCTCCAGTATTCAGCACTTTTCCCGATGCCTAGACATTTTTTCTCCTTGAATGCTTCCAAGCAGTGGCAAATGCTGATACAAATTCTTTCCGCCATGCCCAGCATTTTGCCATTATCACTGAACAAACATTGCTTTCGATAAATGGCTTCTCTCTCTTCAATTTCACTAATGTGCCCTTATGCTTGAATACCATTGTATGCCATAAGATTGACTCGCTGAGAAGAGAGAGGAAGTCCACACAGAGATAGAGAAAAATGCAACTTTTCTACTCACTTGGAACAATTGTTGCGCCTCCATTTGTTCTCTGTCCCGCCAACAGGGACTGCTCCTCTTTTCGCGGCATTTTCTGCATTCTAATGGACTGCTTCTCCCCCCTTCTTGGATAACTCTTATACTTTTGCGTTCCGTTCACGCCAACAACGTCTCCTGATGCTCAGCCTTTCTTCGTGCTTCGAAGATGTGCAATTTGTCTGTCTCTGTGAAGAGAGGAAAGAAATTTCTACTGCAAAATTATATTAGATAGGAAAAACCAGATGAAATTATTCACTTCACGCAATATTACTAAAACTCGTGCAAAGCCATTTATAGTAGGATAATTAATATTTGCGCTTTTTATAGCTTGACACTGTGTGTGTGTGTGAAGAAAATTACTTGTTCGCAGAAGATGCGCGCTGAGTAAATTAACATTTGCCTTTTAATTGAATGAAATTAGAGGAAAAATCCAAACGTCTCTTAGTCACACGGAAAAGCTCTCCTATTGACACTTTCAGTGGCAAGAAGAGACTATTGCAAATTGCGATTTTAACAACATGCCCGAGTTTCTCTCGCAACCTAAAGATAGAGATTCTCCCATACTTTGACACACAATCATTCCAGAGAGGGTGAATTATTGCTCAGCGCACACACAAACTCTTCCCTCGCGACAGAGTGAAGCTCCTTTTGAGAAATTGAGAGCGAAATTCACTCACATTTTCACACAAACACCCGCCAAAATGCCCCACAATTCAGCGGAGTTCAGCAAATCTCTGTTTAGTATCACTACAAATTGATTGATGGCAATTCATACACAACTTGAGACCTTTCATCAATTCACTGACTGTAATTCAATTGATCGCGTCGAGACACTGTTTTGTCAAAAGATCCACGGAGAGAGAGCACTGCCCGACAATTTGCATAAATGCTGTGCCAATTAATTTGCATTTTGTCTCACGCCACACTGTCTGATGTGGTGATATTTTCGTTTGCGCCTTTCTCAGCGTTCAATTCAACACCCTCCCATATATTGTCCCATCGCCTCAGAATACATCTCACCATCAAACAATATTCCCCATCGACAAGACACCAAACGTCACGACACTTCAGGATTGCCCCTGAAAAAAGTGCTTCGAAATAAATCACAGCTTACGTCCAGATAAGATAAACTCTTGGCTGACCAATGGAAAAGTCGCTCCTGAATTAAGCAATGAAGGAAGGTTGCGGTGTAACTGGTTAAATAACCACGCGAATATTATCAAATTGATACTTTATATAGCCAGATAAGATTATCAATATGAACTCTACTCTCCACACAATATTACACAATAAGGCAATTATAAATGAAGCACGTGAAATGCGCCGAAAGATTGTCAATTTCGAGAAATATTATGCTAATTCTGCATAATAAAGTGCTAACAGGGAAATTTTACTCTCAATATTAATAGCACGAAATACACATTAAAAATATATATTGGCTTTAAACACGTTAATTTACTAGTGATTCCATTCAGTTCAACGACAAGGGATGCTTGAATTTCATCTCTACGCACTTAATGTGTTAAATTGAAGCGCAACCAGAAGGTTCAAGAGATTAACTAAAACGTGGATCATAAGATAAATCAACTGCGCAAGAAAAATCCAGCACAGAAACAAGCAAGGTCGTAAAATGTGAGCTATCAAATGTTTTGTGAAGAGCAATTCGAGTATGACTTCAATCAGTTGGGAAATCGGAAAAAATGCCCCACTTGATATCACACTATTTTGCACTGAACGCAGTGAACTCGCTGCGCCGGAATTAAACTTCCAAGGAGGCTCTTGAGAAACACCTCAAATCTTAAACAATCCTGAAGTGATAGCGGAGTCCTGGCACTCTGGAGCACACTGAGAGGGTGGCACAGTGTTGTGCGGCATAACGATGAAAATCCATTAGAGATATTTTCCCCACTTGTCCGGGGCTTATTTAAACAGCTGTCCCAGCACTTTTCCCCACACTTCCGCCAACTGGGAATATCAATAGCATTTGCGGCTCAGGGAAAAAAAAATCCATTGCGTGATTTAAATCACAATAAACGTGGATGCACAATGAAAAGAAAAAGGTCAACGATTGTGGACAATTACTGCTGCTACTCTTTCTGCCACTGCACCATTGCGACTGCGAGTAATTTTCTTGTGAATGGAGCGCCCTTCTGGAGCACCATTTAAGCCAGCCGGAAAGAGGAAAAGGAGGAAAAAATGACTGCTTTTGAGGTTAGAGACCCCTTAAGTAAGACTTTTCTTGCACTTGCAGGAGCATTTTTCACCATTTCACACCACCATCTTCTCTTCTCTTACGTGTTAAGCGCAAATAGAGATTTTTTACGCATTAATTAGGAACTTTTCTCACGGAAATTACCACTTTTTCTCCGCCTCACCTAAGAACGAGCGACGTCGGGAAATCCGGCTCCACTGATAAAACTAAACTGCTTCAACCACGTTTTCTGGCCAAAGCCCGAAGCACATGTTTCAATTCCTCTAATTCGAGTTATTTTGGATCACACATTGAACTCCTCGAACGTCTTTTCGCGACTTTTCATTTCATCATTGTAAAATCTTCCCTACACACACAGAAAGCCAACACAACACACTTTTCTCATTGGCCAATTCACAAGGAAAAACACAAATTTACATGCAATGTAAATAAACCGTAGCAAACTTTGTTCAGGCACACCCACAAACACTTATGAATTGATTTACTATTTACTAGATATTTATCAATAAATTGATAAACTAATGGAGCTGCATTCTGGTGTGTATGTGAATGAAAGTCGACATTTATGCAGTGTCTCTGCGCGTAGCGACGAACTGATATTGTAAGCGAGCGGAAATAGTTTTAAACAAACTACTTTTAATGCGCTTTTACATTAGTTGTTTATTGAAAATTTCCAAAAATAATTACTTTTCTTCTAACTTTAGAAATCTAATTTAGGAATAAAATATGAGTGCATTGAAATCTTCATATTTTTAAGAAAAAAAATTTCTTCTAACAACTGTGAAGAGAATTTTTAATTATGTGTTATCCGATAATCTTCATACAACGTGTACACATTCGAATACCAAAATTTATTTTAATACTCAAATTAAGTGTAAAATTGATAAGATTACATGTAATTTTCATGTGGTTTTCACAAGAATCATAATTCCAAGAAATCTCCAAAAATTATCGCACAATTTTCCCAATTATAACTCCAATCAATTCCCACCAGAGGCGCTCGTGACGGGGAAGAGGTGTCAAAATTTCTGGAAAGCGGCCGGTTTGTTTACATTCGACACGATGGTGACCACAAAACTAGACGAATTGCAGGAATTCTTCAAGACCCACAACAAAGTTCGCGAGCAGAAAGCCCACACGTCAAAAGTTCATTCCGTGGGATGGAATTGCGATGGAAAGAAGCTCGCTTCCGGCTCCTTTGACAAATGCGTGGCGATTTTCAGCCTCGACCGAGATCGTCTGGTAAGCAAGAAAGCAACAAATCCATTGCGAATCCTCATGATTTGTCTCTTTTGCAGAGCAAGGACACCACGTACCGTGGGCACACGGGATCTGTGGATCAGCTGTGTTGGCATGCAGTCCATCCTGAGCTTCTGAGCACCGCGAGTGGAGACAAAACAGTGCGAATCTGGGATGTCCGGGCAAGTAAGTGTGCCACAATAGTGAACACAAAGGGAGAGAACATCAATATCACCTGGTCACCGGATGGGAACACCATTGCCGTGGGAAATAAGGAGGATCTGGTGACCTTCATCGACACACGCACTCACAAAATCCGTGCCGAAGAGCAATTTGGCTTCGAGGTGAATGAAATCGCCTGGAACAATCGCAGTGATCTGTTCTTCCTCACCAACGGCCAGGGATGCGTTCACATACTCAACTATCCCAATCTGGATGTGAAGGACATCCTCAAGGCTCATCCAGGCACCTGCATTTGCATAGAATTCGATCCGACCGGAAAGTATTTTGCCACAGGAAGTGCAGACGCGCTCGTCTCTCTCTGGGACGCTGAGGAATTGTCGTGCATTCGGGTGTTCTCGCGACTCGACTGGCCCGTGCGCACCATCTCGTTCAGTCACGACGGCAGACTCCTGGCCTCCGCCAGTGAGGACCTTCTAATTGACATTGGAGACACGGAAACTGGGGAGAAAGTAGCCGACATCTCCGTGGACGCAGCCACTTTCACAGTAGCTTGGCACCCCAAGCAGTACCTCTTGGCTTTTGCGTGCGACGACAAAGACTCCTGCGACAGGAGACGCGATGCCGGAAGCCTCAAAGTCTGGGGATTTACTGAGTGAGAGGAATTTATCAAATTTCGCTTACCATCTCCTTCTAATAAACTTCCATGAAAGACACTATGACCACGTTTCTTCCTGGTATCGTCCAGACGTCAGCATCTGTTGCACATTGTCTTCCCCAATTACCTCACTCAGGGCTTCCTTGACCGACTGAGGCATGTTTTTGGAGCTTCCAGCCACGAAAAAGTACCCTTGTTGATTAATCAGCAGATTCCTGAGCAGTTCCCCGCTCTCTTTGATCCTGTGCTGGACATATCTGGAAAAACACAGCGTCAAGTCAGTAATTGTGATCATTAGAACATTCTTGAGACTCACATCTTCTCCTCCTGATCCCTGGAGAATGCTGTTATGAGCTTCAGTAGACCAACTCCTTCCATCCTCTTCAGTTCCTCCTCACAATGGAAGTCTCCCTGGCGATTACGGCAACCGAAGAAGAGAACACTCATCGCAGTCAATTCTCTCGCCAACTTTACCTCCTTCTGCAGCAGGACACTTCGGAATGGAGCCAATCCCGTGCCTGGGCCCACCATAACCAGTGGTTTTGAGGCGTCAGCCGGCAATTTCAGTGTGCCCTTCTTCAGCCAGCCCACAATCTTGGTACCAATGGGCAGATTTTTAAGCCATGTTGAGCACAAACCTTGTCTAGGAGTCGCCAGGATGCTCCGATACTCAACCACAGCCACGAGTAACTGCAGTCTTCCCACCTCTGAACAGGAAGCGATGGAAAACGATCGGGGTTTGATGGGCTGGAATACTTCCATGAGAATCTCTAGAGTGAGACGAGAAGTCGCATGAGGAAAATCCTGTAGAACTTCTACAATTGTCCTTCTGGGTCTATTCGCGTAGGAGAAGAGATCCTCCTGGCCCGCTGGAGAGGAAAACTCAAGCAGTCTCTCGCGTTCCAAATCATTGAGGCAGTTTTTGGCCAAAAGAGCGAAGGCACGAGGGCGCGGAATGGCATTTAAATCCCAATACTGTGTGGCCAGAGATCTCAAGGAGATTGGAGCTCGTAAGCAGTCAGGAACTGGCATTTCTGGAAGAAGCAGACAAATTTCCGTTAAGATATTTACTAGGCAGAAACTCTTATTGATTGTCAAGACAAGAAAACTCGCTCTTTCGTAGGAAAATACTTTATTTATTCCCATTCTCTTCACATTCTGTCCTGCAGGATGTCATCGTCATCCTGTTCCCAGCCATCGTCATCCGAGAGGAACCTCCTCTTGGCCGTGGTGTTCATGTATCTGTGCAGCGTCCACTCAGTCTCCGTGGCATCGAGCTCATCCACAGTTCCCAACTGGACTCTGTAGAGACTCAGCTGGAATCTCGGCCCGCACTCTGTCAGCTCAATCTTCCCATTCACGCGCTGGTAGGTGTGATGCCGGAAGCAGATGAAATCGTCGTGATTGGCGAACGTCATGATTCGCCGGGAGTCTTCCTTGGGCACCGGAAAGAGATACTTGAGAATAGACATTGTCCGAAGCCCGAGAGTCGTCTTGAAGTTGTGGAAGATCAGCTGTGGCTTCTGCTCACTCATGGGCCCAATGTCCGGGATGTCGTGGCGCATGACAACTCCTGAGATGTTGAAGAAGGCCGTGGGCCCATGAGGAAGATGACAAACCACCAGATTGTCCGGAACTCCTCTCGTTTCGTGCACCACTATGAAATCCGTCACGTCATTCGCTCTGCAAGCGTGCACCATTTGCTTCATATCGTAATTGCCACGATTCATGCGCTGGGCGTTGGGAAAGACCAACCGGAGCTCCTTCACGAACATCTTCAGCCTCGGCGAAGGATCGCGAGAAGTTGTTATCATTATTTTGGGATCCTCACAGCCGGCATAGCGATATTCGTCATCCTGGGAGTTTGCTGTATTGGCTCCACCACTGACGCCTCCAATTTCAGCCGCGGCTGCTGGTCCAGAGTCACTCCACTTCAGCTTCTCCTGCAGCGAGAGAGCCTCTCTCTGAAGATCACCATGAATTGGGATATTTCCCTCGAGACTACGCTTCAAGCGCTCCTTCTTCTCCTGCAGCGCCTTGTGTTTCCCCTCCACAGACTTCCTGTACAGGTACTCCCGTCTCAATCGAGCCTGTCTCCTCAGCATTTTGAGAAATATCCCACAAAACTTTGTTGTTTTTGATCACAAAACACGTGCAGTCAATTGACAATGAACGATATCAAGAAATCCCGCGAGAGGCGCTGACAATAAATAAAAGGAAATTTCGAACTCACCGAAATCCACTTCCCGAATCTCAATCACAGTTTCTGGATGAAGAGGAAGATTGTGCTCCTGGAAGAGTCCGAAGAGCTGTCTCACACGATCCTCCCCGTTGCAGGGACGCAGAACTAGCACGTCGCCAGGTTGCCAAGCAATGGGATTGATCATTTTGAAGCTGATAAAGCGAACATCTTGGAAATGCTCTTCGTGAGTTATCCTCCTGTTTTCCTCTAGCACCAGTCTCACTGTAGGATTCTGTGAGTTCAGGAGGCTCTGAGAGGTGGCATATATATTGTCAGTCTCCTTCCGGACACTTGAATTGTTCTCCTTGTCTTCATCTATCGGCTCAACATTCCAACGAAATTGCCGTGGACTTTCTTCAAGTGGATTCTGACCTTCCGGGAGCGGCTGAATGGCCAGGATCTTCTCCCACAGCTGCTCCAACCATGGCATGTATGTTGCGCTTGGTCCCAAATCGTGTTGATCATCACAGAGCCCCACTGCCATGAGAGCCATTCCGCCGAGCTGCAACAGCCTCTTGTGCAGCTTCTTCGCCGCAAAATTGTACTTGACGTATCCGGAGTCCCCGAATCCCATAACGGCAAACTTCACTCCTTGCAGGGAGTCGCTGGGTAGTTTCTTTCGCAGCAGAAACCTCCAGAAACTCCGCATATTGTCAGGCTCATCGCCCTGGCCAGTGGTGGAGCAAACGAAGATAACGAGGCTCTCATCAACAAGATTTCTCACGTCGTACGAGTCCATCGGAAGTACTGGTCCATTGAAATAGAATCTCTTAGACTCCCTCCACACTTGCTCGGCGAAATCCTGGGCAGTCCCTGTCTCACTACCGTACAAAATCAGCAATTTCCTGGACATTGTGGAGCCTGACAATTTCAATGGTAAACACTAACCTAACTTTCATGGGCTGACTTTCGAATGTCAAATTTTCGAACTTCTGCATTTGAAAATGAACGGAAATATTGATGAAAATTTTTCTTGGGCTTTTCCAAATTTTATTTATTCTTTCTTATATCAATGTGCTCTTATTACATTTCATATTTGTATCCTATCTAAAATGTAACTATCATTAATATTCTTACAGTTACTTCATCATCTTTCATCTTCTTACAATCTATTTTTCCATCATCTTTTCTCCCCAAACTTCCTTCCCAAACCTCTTAAAAACCTACACAAATCCTCACCAAATATTCCATCTCCTTCGCTCAAACTCAATTCTCTGCTCTCAGAATTCTCAACTTCGCGTCAGCGGCAAATTTCACCCATTCATATTAATTAAGGTTGTATATTGTTTATTATATAAAACATACTCGACTTACTAACCACTTCTCATCAAACTATATTCACTTGCAAAAAGAGGAGTCGCAAATTGAACATTTCATGGTTTTATTCTTCCACTTTTGCTCATCTTTTCTCCTATAAAATAAATATTTCTCTCTACTCTTTTTTTTCACTTTCCGTTGATCGATATTCAATGTTCAGGATGATTTCTTCATAATATTCTTCTCCAAACACTTGAGTGATGATAATTCAAAGGACACATTTTGTCTGGCAAATTAAATTTTTATAATAAAAGTTATCTTCGATATCTCAATTATCCAAATAAACAATCCCAAAAAACCATGTTTCTAATGAGAAACACACGGAAAAACATTTTCAAAAAATATCTTTTCGTTGTCTGCTGCTGATATGCTATTGGAATGTAGAATAATTTGCCTTGAATATTTTCCATGCGTGAAATGAATTTCAATAGCGAAAGTGCGTGCGTGTGTCCTTTCTCTTCGATATTGGCTGGACCCTCGAAAATGATCATCGAGAAAATACAATGCCATCAAAAATCATCAAGTCCAAACCCCTTTTTTTTCGTCACTGCCAATGCAAGAAAAATCCTGCATTTTTCCTCAAAATCTCCCTTCGTTTCAACGGGATCAAAAGCACATATCGTATAAAAATATATCTTCATCCACAACGTATTTTTTTGTCCTTAAATTTCTGCAGTCTGATCTGATCTGCGCGCTAAACTCCGTCAAATCATACTCTCTTCCTCGTCGTAGTAATAAATTATGCAGCGTTTTTTTTTAGTGATAATATTTCTCCCCTTCATCGACTTTCCGCCCACAATTACTCACTCTTCATAGACTTCTTCTTCACTTTGCTCATGTACTTTTGTACAGATTTATATTTCCCCACAACAATCACCCCCAAATAATCCTTTTTCAGCGGCTTATTTTACACATTATAACTCTCTCTCTTGACCGTCCATTTTTAGCTTTGTTATCCTTGTATTTACATATTCCGTGATCTTTTTGGGAAACAGGTAATGCTTTATACTTCTTTTCTCTTCAGTAATGAAATGGATAATAATATTATACTTTGATTTGTTGATCTCCTTTCACACTTATTCACGGTTTTCCTCCGCATCTTTTTCTCACTTCTCAATCCACTCACTTTTATTTACAAAAGATTTTCAGACACAATCTTGTCTGCAGGTTACATTTTCTTTTATTACTTTGTCCTAATCTAATCTCTTCTCATCCTCGTTCGCAAATCTTGTCTTTAACAATATTGTGATTTCCAATATAGTTTTCTTTACTCTTTTTGAGGGGGAAATTACCGAATTTCTTTTTTCTCCATTTCTTATGAATTCTCAGGTCTTTTGTGAAAAAAATTTCGTTTCTCTTTGTTATTCAAAATTTCAGATATGATTAATTTTGGCATGACTGTATTTTCTTCAGCATGTTAAATACGTAACCGAAGACAAAATGACATTGATTTAAGTTATTCCGACCAACCAAAATACTCACACACAAAAAAAATCTAAGAGTTATTTTATAAGAAGCTAAGGGAAAAATAAATTAAAATATTAGCATTGCTGTATTGCCAAAGTTTGTCAATATTATGTATAAATGTTTTTTTTTAGAAATGTTAAAATAGGAAAAATTTTGTTTCTTTGCTTAATTTATAGCAGAAAGTGCGTGAAAATGTTTCAAAAAAGAAAACCACACACAAAAAATATTCGAAAAATATTGATATTTTGACGATAAAAGGAGTCTCGTGTGTATTTTTTCTATTTACCGTACTTTTTTCTTTTATCTTTTTTTTCTTTAACATATATCACACATTTCTCAATACCCATTTTCTCTTAAAAATCAATGCGCATTTCCCCCCGCATCGCAGCTTCTCCTCCTCTTCCTTTTTTTTGTTAAAACCTACAGTTTTGCTCCATTTCACTTCACGTATGCAAAGAAGATATTCCTTAAATTGATTAAATCCAAATTTTCTTACACAATACAAAGGGAATATTTTCAGTTTATTTTACATATACATTTTTTGTCCTTTTTCTCCAACCCTGCAAAATCTAACATTTCGCATTTCTCTTTACCCACGATTTTGGATAATCTTTCCAAAAAAGAAAAGCACAAAAACAATTCACTAAATAGAGAATTTCATAGAGATTATTCTATGGAATTTTCTTTACTTCTCACGAGACAAGAGTGTTTTTCTTCCCTTCTTTACTTTGATATACCGCGATCGTCACAAACAACCCGGAGAAGAGACTTTTCTCGAAAGGAAATGATGTTTTTTTCTTCTCTCTTGTTCTTTCTTCAGAAAATCATGCTTGAAAAACAAAAAAAAATCAAAGAATGTCTTCTCGTAAACTAATTAAAAAAAAATACCCTTGAACTCAAATCATTCTTTCGTCACTTTTGCATGTTTTTCTGGAAGGATTCCTTCGTGAGCGCGTGAGATTTATATATATAAAGGTATGTATAGCAAATTCTTACAAGTTATACAAGTTTCTTCTCATCTTCCCCGCATGTGGACAATGCCTGTCAAATTCCTATCTCTTGATCCTCTTGGTTGTTTGTGCTGCTGTGTCCTCAGTGTTGGGTTCGTCTCATTGTGTCTGATACTGTGGCATCGCCGTATACATAATCTGTGGCTGACTCGCGGTGGCCCCATTCGTGGCCGCCGTAACAGTCTGTACCGTGGGCACTCCCATGTACATCGTATTGGCCGGCTGGACCATGCGATATGCTGAAAACATATCTGCAAGTGTTAGCACATTATCACCATGCAATCTACAAAGGCACATTCCTATATCATTCGCCACTCTGCGCGTCCTCTTTCTCCCCCTATTTCCACCTCAAATATCATCACTTTCCTCCCTCTCTCTCTCTCTCTTTTTCTTTCTTTCTCCACGGCTCAAGAGCCATCGCGGCAGTGATTCTCAAACCTCTCTTCTCCCCACCTCAATGTGGGTCACAAGGTCAAGCACACATCTTTCAGTTTCTACATATCACTTCGCTCTCTTCACTCCAAATTCTATACACACAGCAGCAGCAACATTGGTGTGCCTTCCATCGCAATTTATCGCTCACCACACACACTCCAGCATTATTTATTTGGTCAATAAAATACTAATTCACTTTTATTCGCCTGTGATTTTCACGAAGGAGCACCCAAAAACCTACAAGGGTTCAACGCACAACTCGCATCAAAGTGCTGCATCGACACTACAAAAACTGGGCAAAAGTGATACAAATACAATGTTGCCTCGCTGTAACACAATCCCAAATGTTATTGCTCATATTCACAAAACTCCATTAGAATAGACTAAACATTGATAAATGTGCATAATTGTGATACTTTTTGAAATTGACCCCAATCTAGGCATTGCAATGTCGACACTATTTTGCCACTATTTCTGATGCGAATCACATTTTCACAAGTGTAAATACGATATGAAAAGGTATTTTTTTTTCATTGTACACTCCAGAATATAGTACTTTTCATTGGGTTGTGCGACAGAAGCGAAGTAATTCAATAATAATTTACCAACTGTCGTAAACAAAAATGCCAATTTCGCCAAATTAATCAATATCGATATAGAGAAAAGTAAAAGGGTTCAAAAATATCTGCATTATTGAACTCACTTCTGCACGGCATAATATCAGTCCTTTTCTTTCTTTCTTTTTTTTTAATATGAATATCTGCAGATGCATATAAAATTTGCTATTATACTACATTACGAAATGGCACGAAAGGAGGGAAGAAAATCAATTATTACATTTGAAATGCAATATGCAATGCTGCTAAAAATAATGAAGACTTGCGAAGTGAATGCAAATGACTTCCTCAGTCTGACAATGAGCTATGAGAGAGAATAAGAAGAGAGGTGTGAGAATCCCAGATGCGACTCCTACATACATTTTCTATAAATACATAGGCATAATAATATTTTAATTTTACTTTTTTTTTCTCGTTCACCGCCAAAACTTTTCCTCTCTATTGAAACGGCGCGTTTTGTCTAAGTTCAATTTTCTCCACTCAAATGAAGAATTTCATTATGAGCCAGTGTGTGAAAGTATTTTCGTGGAATTTTCCTTCTTTGTGTCTCGCTAAAATTATCTCAACCTTGGCACAAGGGGTTCACCAATCAACTCACAAAGTGTATCAAATATTAATCACAAATTCAAAATTCAATTAACAAGCTGAAATTGAAAGCAAAAGTATAAAAATGATGGGAAAAATGATGAAAAATATGAGTGTGAGAGCAAAAATTCACTTTTCTGACAAACCCCTCGGCTCATATTATTAACTATCTATACATCTTGACCTGCCGAGCCAACTCAACAATGTTACACTGCACAAATTGCAATTAAATATGAATTTCTCGGCTTTTCCATCAAATTTCTGCTATTCAACTCGCATGTTTGATCGACAAGCTACCAATGTTTTTTTCTTCTTCTTTCTCTTCTTCCACCTTTTCGCTCAAATTGATAAATTTTCTGTAAATTCTTCACCATAAGTTCATCATGCAAATATAATAAAAAAAAAGAAGAAATAAAACAACTCAAAACATTGTTAGGAACATGCAAAAGTGTGAAGAATTTCTCATAGTAACATCACTGAAAATTCACATTTTCCATACGCATTCTTCACTTTGCCTCTTCTCGTCTTCTCCTCTGAGCAAACTACCAAAAAGATCTACGAAATCAGGGACAAATTCTGAGCAAAACTTGACAAAGTAAGACACTACTGAGGTGGATAGTAATATGTACCTCCGGCTCCTTGCTGCGGACTCGTGTAGGCGTAGGGATAGTAGCCCTGTTGCATGTACTGCGCCGGCATCTGTGCCGCTGGATATCCCTGAAAAAGCAGTGAGAAGAAAGCATTAAAATCAATGTGTTTGTGTTTTTTACCAATTTTACGACCATCTTAAAAGCCTCATTTATCAATTAGTCCAAATTAGAAGGAAAAAGTTGATCATATCTCTTCTGTTTGCCACAAAGTTTCCTTCACCAGTTATTTATCAAGCAGAACAAGAAAGTTTCCCTCCGAGAGATGAGAAACAGAAACCAGCAAACTTTATAATATTTTTCCTATGCTTCCTCTCTCTCTCTCTACTCCAAAACATCTTTCAAGATGCTTTCTCCCCCCTTTCTCTCTCTCTCTCTCTCTGTGTCTCTGAGGGTAGTTTTGCTCCACTTTATCTCTCAAACATTAAACGTGCAATTATCATTTAATTAGAAAATATCGCATCTTCAGCACAGCCTCAATTATCTGCCATCTCATTCTCCGAAAGAAAGTAAATCCGGCACTCTTCGTATTAAACTATGCGATTCCAAAGAAGTAACTCGATAGACGAGAAAATTACAACAAGTGACGCTTACACTTCTCCTTATACGACATAATTGTGGTGAAGACAGCGAAAGACCCTTAATAAGAAGTCTTATCAGCTGTGGCCATTCAAACACACACACACACACACACACAGTCTTGATCACACTCATACACACACACATTCATTGACCAGAGACGCAGTGCGACTTGCTATTCCGCCATCAAACGGCAAATTAATCTAAAACATGGCTAATCGCATTCTCATGAACGTTCAGCGATGGAGAAAACGTCTCCAACTGAATTACTGTATTTTCGGCATAACAACATTCTAAGGTCATTCGCGTGCATGAATAAATTCCCTGTCACCGTATGATTTTACCAAAAAGATATCGACCAGCGGATGAGAAGTCATTCCGCGGACGAGTTTCTGCCCAAATGCCCTCTTCTCTCCCTCCGCCCCCTCAAACTCTCTCCCTCCCTCTCTCCCTCTCTCTCTCTCTCTCTCTCTCTCTCTCTATGTGGAGCAAAATACAAGTTCTGTGAATTGATTTATATCCGACAGGTAGAAGAAGAGGAGAAAAAGATATAAACACGCAATTATACATAATTAAAGAATATATGTTTCAAAATTCTCACTGAGTAGCAAGCAAACCCACAAATTTATCTCTTTTCCCTCATATGTACCTCTTCTCTTGCTCACTTGACCTCTTCAATGCGACCATCAACTGAACACACACACACGAAGTGATAAATTTTTCCATTGTGACACTTTCCCCCCAAAAAGGAATAATTTTCAAATTTCTCACATCGCCACAACTATGTAGCAAAAATGTCTGCAACACACAAGTGCTAATTCGCAATGAACTTGATGCGTTTCGCAAGAAGAGACCATCTCTTCAGCGTGATTTGCACTTTGCAGTGATTAGGTTTTCAAATTTCCTTGTTTTCACACCCATTCAGCATGAGTCAGTGGGATGGAAAGTAACAACAAATTAAACGGCAAGATTATTTGTAGATACAAATCTGCCATAAAGACTGTCTGATAAAGTGTTTAAAAAGAATACAGTCATTATAAAGACTATGAAGAGATTTCAATTAGTATTTTGTGCATTTTTCAAATGCCAAATTACAACAAGTGCCTAAAGTGCGAATTGCATTTCAAAATCATGTGGTTCAATCGCACAGGGAAATAGAAAAAGAACCAACACAGCTTAAAGTCTTAAGGAGTAGTCAAGATAAGACCACCATGTAAACATTCCGCGTTTCACAAGAGCACACAGTTTATTGTTGGAAATTTCGATATGAAATGAGAAAAAGCAATAAAAGTGGAGGAATTATTAAGTACTCTTCTCGCAACTCTTTCACAGCATTAGAATCGTGAATTTCATGATTCACACAGATCGCCAAACATCGTTTTTTTCTTTCTTTCTTATGAATCATCTTTCAATAATATTTCGTGAAAATTTAAAAATTTCCATTCCACTCACGTCATCAACAAAACATTTTTATTGGTCTTTAAGAGAATCTAAAAAGCGAAGTCATTTAGTTTTTTTTCCACAGAAAACACAATTTTAGTGTCATCGCGGAAAACCGTATGTTTTGAAACTTTATCTGAAACTTTCGATCACACCCTGGGAAAGTTTCAATGCTTCACATTCACTGTTTATCGCGATGGTCTTCATCTGCAGAAATAAAATCATGAGCAATGGGATAAACAATAAGCAAGGCATCGGATGGTGTCCGAGAGGCCCGAATAAACACAATCATGCATCAAAAGTGGGGTTCTTAATCATCGACGCGCGAGCTTTTTTTTCGGCAAAAAAGAAAACACACCATTACTGGACCATTGGCGGTCCGAGAGCGCGCTCGAGAGAGCGGGAGGAGAGCAAGAGTTGGAGTTCGATGACACCTTTTCCTCTAATATACACAGCATAATGTGTGTATATATTTATTGGGGATATTCAGGCAACGGTAAATTGGTCCAATTTGGACGCTCTCGCGCCGAGTCGGGATGCAACTTACCGGCTGGTACCAGTAGCCCATTTGCTGATACGAGTAGGGGTACTGGGCGCCCTGCGGTTGCACCGGCTGCGCCTGACTGGATGGCTGGGCGTTGCTGGTGGCGTCGCCGCCGTTCTCCTTGCCCCAGAAGCACTTCACCGCCTGTCCGTTGATCTCGGTGTTGTGGGTCGCCTCGATGGCATGCGTGGCAGCTTCCTTGCTGGTGAACTTGATGAAGGCGTAGCCCTTGTCCTTGAACACCCGCACATCCTGTATGGCGCCGAACTGACCGAAGTGCTTGTGCACCAGATCCTCCGTGATCATGTTCGCCGCAAAGCCGCCACAGTACACGGTGGTGTTCGTGGGGCTCGTCTGATTGTAAATCTCCTCGTACGAGGGCTTCCCACCCTTCACGCCCTTGCTGTTCTCGCGCGGCGGCGGCGGCTTGCGGGTGCTCCAGTTGGTGCGAATGGACCTGGACCCCAGCCACTGTCCATTCATCGACTGTATGGCATTCTCCGCCTCAGCCTTCTTCACGAACGACACGAATGCGTAGCCCTTGGACTTGAGCGTTTGTGGGTCACGCACGATGCGACAGTTGGAAATTTCACCGAACGGCGCGAACGCCTCCCTCAGCGTCTCCGTCTCAATCTCCGGGCTCAGGTCGCCCACGAAGATGTGGTGGTGCGAACTGGTGTCCGCCTTGGGCTGATTACCCGGACTCGTGGCCCAATTCACCTTCATCTCCTTGTCCAGGAAGTGGCGCTTATTCATCGCTGTCAGCGCCGTGCTGGCCGACTGGTGATTAATGAACTCAATGAAGGCATAAGGATCGTTGCCCGGCTCACGGATGATCTTGCAGTTCTTCACGGGACCAATCTGACCGAAGAGCGACCACAGCAGGTCCTCAGAGACCGAATTGTCCAGGTTGCCCACGTACAGGGTCTTGGGCTGCGACTCGTCGCCCATCTTTGTCAACCTGAATGTCTCCGCCCCGCCAAGCTCAGGACTCTATCGCAAGTCTACCGCAGCTCCTGGCGCACTGCACACGACTGGGATGACACGGGTGGGCGGTTGGGGGGTGGGTGGTGTGCAAATGTGGAACAAAAATGCGTGAAAAAAGGTCCGTACGCCCCTGCTTTCGCCGACCCAACACTCCCGACTCCACTGGAGAAGCGCACCCAAAGTGTCCGGAAAGATCCTCTCTCAGCGCACTGGGATTCGTCTCTACCATACAAATACCTACACCACGCACTTTGTCGACACCTTTGCCACGCGTTTCAGCACTTTTCTTCACCTATTTTCACTTATTTTGCAGGAAAATCACGAATAAAGTCACTAGGCGTCTATGACATGACATCTGACATTGCCAATATGGCGGACACAGGAGTCATCCTCTCTTTCCCGATGCCAGCGACGCCATCGACCGGAGACATTTTCAGCGCGTCACCCGGCAGACCGCGCCCTCCATTCAGCACTTTCCAGTCCGAGGCGCGAACTCAAATTGCTACCCAAAGATGATTTCATCTTTTGCCAATTTATTGCCGATTTCAGATAAATTCCGAGGGAAACACCAAAGAAAATGTAGAGCATCAAGTGAGAAAACGGAAAATGTTCAAATGCAACAGAGATTTATTGTCAAATAGCCTTTTGGGGAGGATAAATTTCCCGGCACATCATCAGATACCATTTGCGTACTGCTTATGAGTGGGCTAACGGTTTCCGCCTAGGCTGACTCAACCGGGTTGTTATTCAGCGCGTCACTCCAAATGGCTGTGGGCGCCAGAGCGAGAGAGAGCAAGCAGTTTGTGTGTCATCAGAAAGAGAGCCAGAGGGCAGTTCTGCCGTAATTTCATCATAGCCGAAATATCTTCCCCTCTTGCGTGCACTTTTCCTCGCCAGTTGGCAAGTGGAAAGCCAGTCATGTTGATCTTCTTGGCGTCCCAATGGTGATATCCCACTCTCGAGGTAAGGTAAGATGTGTCGTCATGTGGGAATTTCCTCCACACATACGCACACACACTCGCGTGGTGAACAAAAGAAAGTTTCGCCGTGCACTTCCTGCACTCCATCTCTGATGTATTATTGTGTGTTCAGCCATGGACAGGATGGAAGTGAGCGAGACGCACGCCAGAGTCATCATTCACATCGACATCGACTGCTTCTACGCCCAGGTGGAGGAGCTGCGGGATCCGGAGCTGCGTGGGAAGCCTCTTGGCATCCAGCAGAAGAACTTAGTGGTGACGTGCAATTACCCGGCCCGCGAGCGCGGCGTGGACAAGCTGATGCCCATGCAGGAAGCGCTGCGACGCTGTCCTGAGCTGGTGTTGGTGCGCGGCGAGGATCTCACGCCGTACAGACAGATGAGCGCCCGCATCTTTGAAGTGCTGCAGAAGTTCACGCCCTGCGTGGAGAAATTGGGCATGGACGAGAACTGGATGGACGTGACACGCCAGGTGGAGTACCGCCTCGGCACCCTGACCATGACAGACGACCCGGAGGTGGTGGGCTGTGTGTGCCCCGAGGGCGAGTCGCTCTCGTGTGCCTGTGGCTGTGATAGACGCCTGGCGGCGGGCAGTGCGCTAGCGCGCGAGATCCGCGACGCGCTGCACTCGGAGTTGGGCATCACCAGCTGCGCCGGGGTGGCGCACAACAAACTCCTGGCCAAGTTGGTGGGCAGTGTGAACAAGCCCAACAACCAGACAGTATTGGTGCCTCACTGCGCCGCCACGTTCCTCGCGGATCTCGAGAAGGTGCGCCGCGTGACTGGCGTAGGTCAGAAGACAGAAGCCCTACTGGCTGACATTGGCATCCGGACGGTCAGGGAGCTGCAAGACGTGGATCTGGAGCGGTTGCAGCGAAAGTTTGGCCACGAGACGGCGACAAAGCTGAAAGATTTGAGTCTCGGGCGGGACAACATGCCCGTGAGACCGTCCGGGCGGCCCAAGACCATTGGCTTGGAGGACTCCTGCCGCACGATTTCGGTGAAGCAGGACGTCGAGGAGAAGTTCAATGTGTTGCTGGTGCGACTAGTGAATCAGGTGGTTGACGACGGACGGATTCCCATTGCGATCAAGATGACACTGAGAAAGTTCGATCCAACCAAGAAGACTAGCCACCGCGAGACGAAGCAGGCCAACATTTTGCCGTCGCTCTTCAGATTGCGCCCGGAAGGGAAGGTGAATCTCGTGCAGGGTGGACACGAGAAGCTCCTTAAGATCGTCATGCGCCTGTTCGAGCGCATCATTGACCTCAAGCAGCCTTTCAACATCACCCTTCTGGGGCTGGCCTTCTCCAAGTTCCAAGAGCGCAAGTTCGGCTCCTGCTCCATTGCCAACTTCCTCATCAAGAAGTCCGACCTCGAGGTGCAGTCCATCACGAGTCTGACCAGCGACGGACTCACCATTCCGGCGGCGCCAAGTCGCGAAACATTCCGACGCTACGTCAACGCATCGCCCGTGGCGATGGAGAATGACACATTCTCAGACGCCTCCGTGGCGTCGGATGTGTCATCGGAGCCCGAGCTGGAGCCCTCGCCCAAGAAGACGCGCATCGGGCTGTTGATACCCAAGAGGCCCTGCCACCCGCGCCACGAGTCCATGGACACGTCCTCGCCCAGCAAGCTGAGAGTGGCCGACCTGAGGCTGAACTCCCTCGACTCACCGCCGGCCAGCTCACTCGCGGACGCTCCGCCGGCCAGCCAGAGCGCCGAGTCGCTGCCCAACTGCGTGGATCCACAGGTAATCTCTCACGCGATGCGCCATTTGAAGGGATTAATCATTTAGCAGGTCGTGTTCTGCAGTAACTGTCGCGCGTTCGTCCCCAAGAAGGGACTAATTAGTCCATGTTATCTATTTATTAAACCACGTGAATTGTCTTACTCCAAATTACTCTGTAGATTAACATTTTTTGTATAATTCGACTAAACCAAGAAATTCCCTAGAATTTATCGGTTGTACAAACGAAGAATAAAACAAAAAAAACGTTATTTTACGTGTTTCCTCGACTTAAAAATCGGGAATGTAAAATCGTAACACCTTGAAATTGAATTTATTAGTATTATTTTACGGGGGATCCTGTGTGAAAGGATAAACTGTGAATATTGATGGGAGAATTCCTTTGAGTCTCACAGAGTGTGCGAAAATTGCTAATTCTCACATGAATTCCACTCACGCACTTTCCTGCCACTGTAGGTCTTCAAAGCACTGCCGCCAGACGTTCAGGGTGAACTGATAGCGACATGGACGAATCCTGCCCACGCTCCAGCCACGTCCTCCTCCACCAAGAGCACCTGCACCACCGGAAACACCCTCCACAGATACTTCATCACCAACAAATAGAGTCTCGCACGTAGGACAAATTGCTCTTATTCTATAGACCACATTTCTATGTATTTCATTCGAGCATCTCTCTACACATCTTGCGCCCCTCCTTGCACTGACCCTTGTCAATCACATCGAGGTCCTACTTTCACACTACTTCTCATTCTTCTGTTTTATACTTTAGACATTAATTTCTTGGTGTGTTTTATTTTTTCTTTCATGTTTTGTAGAATACTTCAAATTTTTTTTTTGTAAAGAGGATTTTTTCAACAGTAATTTATACATTTAAATATATCCATAAAGGAGTTAACAACAATAAAAACAAAAAAAAAACCACTTCTTTTAGAAAGGCTATAAAGGTAGAAAAGGAAGGAAAAAAAACAAAAATTTACATTGAAAACATCCCCTTTCTCTACTCTCCACCCGTTCACCAACCCCCCTCATCAATCGCCCTCTTACGCTACATTTGACCCTCTTCTTTCACGTTTCTTCACTAAAATTTACGCTACACTGTGTGTTCAATATTTAGTTTGTTGAGACGAGAAAAGGACATGAAGGCAGAAAAAGTGAGATTTCTCTTGTTCTGTTCACCCTGGGCTATTTTTCTATAGAGCTGGAGCTGAGCCTACGCACTCTCCTTGGGCAGACTGATGGCCCAGCCGAGGACGCGCCGGTCGAAGCCACAGGAGTAGAGATTGCAGCTCGTATTTGGTTCCTCAGGCGCCCAGCAAACGGACGACACCATCCGCCGGTGACCCTGTGCAGAGAGAGAGGAGACAGAAGCACACGCATTTTTAATGTCTTTCGCATCCCTTTTTCCTCCATTGTTACAAAATCTTTTTTGATATTTGATTTTTCCACGAGTTTTTTTTTACATTGTAGAACAAAATGAAACGAATTGTAATTTAATAAAGGCAAAAGGTATTGGTTTTCGAAGCATTATGTCTCTGTGATTTCTCAACTCGCTCTTCTCTTTCTCTCTCTCTTCAATAAAACACACGCGACCTGAGATGCTCAGCAATCAATCACCAAATTCCGCAAAGGTCATCACAGAAAATCGATTGCACGAGCGAGTTCGTGAAGGTCAGCGCACTATCAATTTCACTGGCAATTCCTGAGAATCAAGTTTAGCAAAGGATTTATCAGTTAAACTCACCTGTCGACTAGTTCTTGGCAATCTGGCCACGCGCTGTCCATTGAGATCGAAGAGGCGAATGTGACGATTGTCATGCGGGATGGCGATGACTCCGTTGGGCGAAACGGCCAGTCTGTTCACCGCCGAGTCCGTCCGGATGGTGGTCAAGGCGGATCGCATGTTGCGCAATTCCCACACCTTCACTGTGCGATCATCAGAGCCGGACACCACCTTGTCATCGCGCGTGAACACCGTGGACGTGACACTCTCCGTGTGGCCCTGGAACACAGACACTGCCGGGATTTGCTCCCTGAAGTCCCACAGGCGGAATGTGCTGTCCCTGGACGCCGTGACCACGAGTCGCTGTGTCTGATGAGCACACGCGTGCGTCAGCTCGTGATCGTGCCCCGTGAGCGGCTGCAGCGGCTCCTTCGTCTCCACATCCCAGAGAATGGCGCTCCTGTCCCAGCTCGCCGTGATGATCTGATCGCCGCCGGGCAGCCAGTCAGCCGCCACGATAACTGAAGTGTGACCGCCGGGCCCGGAGAACTCACACACGGGCGTTCTAAGTACATCAACACGATCCCTCTCCTCCACGGGCTCCTCGTCCTCATCCAACTCCTCCTCGGACGAGTGACCCTTGCGCGTGGGCACCTCCCAGTTCACGGCCGCCTGCCAGATGTGCGCTGTGCCGTCGCCGCTGCCCGTGAGCACGAGATCGCGGCTCTGGTGGAACTTCAGGCTGTTCACTGAGCCGCCATGGCCCTGATACTGCAGCAGACAGCGTCCGCTGTCCACGCCCCAGATGCACGCCGTGTGGTCAGCGGAGGCTGTGCCGATGATGGGCTGTCCACCTTTGGCCGCCACCTGCCACACCCCATCCTTGTGACCACAGTAATCCCTCACTATGCTGCACACAACGCTCTGCGCCTTGAAGCTGGACACGATCTTGCTGGTCTGCGCCCTCAGCTTGTGACTCGCCTTCACCTTGCTCCCCGCCACGGCGCCGAACTTCGCCTTCAAGCTCTTCCCCGTGGCCAGATCGCTGTCCAGCAACTCTCCGCCTGGACTCCTCTCAGCACCTGCGCCTTCGCCTCCTCTCGCCCCCATAGCGTCCAGCTTTTCCTGCACTGCAAAGCAATCGACAAAATTAATCTCGTCCTTCACATAGCGCCCAAGGACGCGCGACTCACGGCTCAGGTTCTCCAGGTAGAGCGCCTCGAACTCCTTCTCAATCTGCGAGAAGAGCTGGTGAAGGCGCGCCCGAAACGGTGCATCGTCCGTGGGTAGAATGTCCTCCGCGAGACTGGACAGCCGAGGGCTCCGCTTTGACTTCACGCCCGTCTTACTTGAGTTCTCAAAGGGCATTTTCCACAAATTTTCTCATTTGCCAGAAAATCCCTGTCTTCGCTGTTTTCTTGCTCGCACTGACAACTGACGGCGGCGCCACAGGCGAGAGGTACCAGAAACTTCAATGCAGCATATGCTTCTCTGCCTTCTCCCCAGCGAAGCGTCAGCTGGCGGCGGTGTGTTTGTTTGTGGTGTCAATTTTGCAAAATTTAGCCAAAAAGAAAGTCTAGAAATGATCTAAGATGATGGAACAACATAACTAGAAGTGAAATACCGTGGAAATTCATCACTCATTGTGCGTAGAGAGTGGATTTAGGGACGGAAGCCATTCGTAGAGTGCATCCACCCTGTGACGTGTGCTTTCCAGTGACGTGATTGGAAGGGCACACGCACGTTCCAGTAGCAAGATGGCGGGTGAGTCACGCAATCGCTGCTGAAAATCACGGAAAATCCCCTTAAAAGCCCCCAATTTCCACATTTTGTCTTTACAGAGTTGTTCGACAAGTATGTCTGCACAAATTGCCAGGAGGATATTCAGGGAATTCGTGTCCACTGCTCAGAGTGCACAGACTTCGAGCTCTGTCTGCAGGTAAGCACCCAGCTGGCGTTGCTCACCGATCAATAACCCACACATTGGTACTGGATTTCCAGGGTTTGCATGGGACTAATTTGAATTTATTGATTTGCAGTGCTTCGCCGCAGGAGCAGAAATTGGACCCCACAGAAATGATCACAACTACCAATTCATGGACACGGGAGCGCTTTCAATTTACAGGGGAAAGGGTGGATGGTCGGCGCGCGAGGAAGTGCATTTGCTGAATGCCATCGAGCAGTTTGGCTATGGAAATTGGGAGGACATAAGCAAGCACATAGAAACTAGGAGTCCGGAGGAGGCGAAGGAAGAGTATGTCAGTCACTTTTTGATTGGCACGATTGGGCGACACACTTGGCAGTATGCGCTGGATAATCAGAGGCCCCACCTGATGGACCACACGTCTTCGGAAGACAACGGACCACTCAGTCAGCTGGTGACTCAACGTCTTCCGCCGATCGACGTTCAGCCGGACGAATCGGCACAGCTGGGCTACATGCCCAATCGCGATGACTTCGAGCGGGAGTACGACACGGCGGCGGAACAGCTTGTGTCCTCCCTCTCGCTGAGCGTCGACGACGAAGAGACTGACATTGTCCTGAAGCTGGCACAGGTGGACATTTACACCCGACGACTGAGAGAGCGCGCTCGTCGGAAGCGCCTCGTGCGAGATTACCAACTCGTGGCGAACTTCTTCAGAGGTACGCTGCGAAGGACACGATATTCACGGGAACAGCGAGAAATGCGCGATCGCTTTCGTGTCTTTGCCCAATTCTACACTGCCCATGAATTCGAGCGCCTCTTGAGTTCTCTGGATCGCGAGAAGGCGCTCAGGATTCGACTGAGTGAGCTGCACAGGTATCGATGGAATGGACTGACGAACATGGACGAGTGTGTTCACTTTGAGCAGCACGCAGCTGTGGCGCCCCACAGAAACACCGGTCCGTATGGCCACGGACGCACGGTAAGGCTGCTCTGCATCACACCAACTCTTCCCCCTTTTAGTAGCAATGTTCTGGAAGTATTCTCAATTTTGGCCCATTTATGTGGGGTGAAATTGAGAGTTTTTCGGATGAAAAGTTTAATTCACGTGATTTTTTTTGTGTGTTTGGAAAATGCGTGAATTGATCATGTTATTGGTCACTTTTCTGTTCAACTTTTCGTGTCACCAGTAAACCTTCTCATCGTTACAAATACTATTTGCAACTCACGGACACACTTTCATCCTCCACTCTAAGTAGTTTATTTATTTTTTTTCTATTTTCCTTGATGTCTGTTGTAGATCCACATAAGAACAAAAGCTATCAAATATGTACTGAGAAACCCAATCATTTGTCTCACTAATCCCATATTTTTATGAACATGTTTAGGACCCAATAATCTATGTTGTGTTTCTCATTTCTTTGGTGTTCAATGGAACATTTTAGTTCTCTGATGTTCAGGGATTTTTCGTGCTGGAAAATGAACTAAATTTCAACTAATATTCACAATTTGGGAGAAAATATCAACAATGCCGAACCTTATTATTAATCACGAAAAGTTGAATAGCGAATTGAAAGGAGATTAGATTTAGTTGCTATCTAATATTGTGATTTTTTCTCCCGAATGTGATTTATAGTTGGCGTGCATAATTGGACCGAATGGTCAGAGAATTCCCGGTTGTATAAGGCAATGTCTTACAGGACAACCGGTCAGCTTCCGAGCGTCAACAGGCATTGTCGTTACACTTGCCGCAAATAAGAAAAGGGTGAGTTGGATCTCTTGGGCGCACTATTTGGCGTCTGAATTTGACCATTTGTGGGCTTTTTCTTCTTCTGCAGAGAAAGCGCCGCAGTCGCAAGCTCAAGTTCCACCGTCCCAAAGTCCATGCACCACATCGGCGACCCGGCCTCCTCCGACGCCTCATCGCTCAACAGAAGCTCCTTGGATAGCTGTCGGGGAGCGGCGGTGTCCGTCGCCGGCGGAAGCCGCCAGGGTCAGCCGGCGGGAGCGCCAGCAACGGCGCCGGAGCCACTGAGCTCGCAACCGGGAGGCAATCTTCTGTCGTCGAATGAGCTGAAGCTGTGCGCCACTCTCAACCTGCCACCCACGCGATACATAACACTCAAGACTGTTTTACTGAGTGGAGCGTCTCGTGCCATCGACGCAAAGGTCTCACCGCTGGAGAACTGCGTCCGGGAGTATCTCATGAAGGCAGGATGGCTCTCCAGTGGACAGTAGGATGGGCGCGGATACGTTATTCGCTCATTTCCATCGTAAGCTAGTTTTATACGTGTACCTATATTGCGAAATTCTCACGTAAAATCCCGTAAATCTAACTAAATTCGTGGTGAAGATGAAGATGATGTTGTGACGATGTGTATTTTGATGAGAGGACTGATGGGAGATTTAGATAGGTGGCATGTGAGCTTAGTGGATAGGTGAATTATGAAGCCCTATCCCACGGAAAGCTCTATAATATGTCTATGTAATTTATTCTCAACGTAGAACGTCTTATAGGTGTAACCTCGATGAGAAAAATAAAGTGATTTATTGAAATGGAAAAATATGAAAATCTTTCTTCTTTTGCAAGGGAGAAAAGGATTTCTTAGACGCACAAGAGAATTTTTTGAACACCTTGCGGTAAGCATTATGCGTATGTGGTTTGCTAATGCATTCGATAAGGCAGGAGCTCGTCAGTCGGGTCTTGAGTCAGCTGTTGTCAGTGCAAACAAAAAGGGTGTTTTGCTCGCGAAAAATCTAAAAATATGCTGTTTTAGCGTGGTTTTTGCGTGAATTCTCAATAAAAATGGCTAGCTATGATTGGGAGGATCACAACAGACGCACCGTCCTGGAGGGACGCGCTGCCCTAGAACGAACATCCGCGAGTTTGGCCAGATCCAATCAGATCGCCATCGAGACTGAACATATTGGCACTGAAGTGAGAATCATCCACATTATCTATTTCCTTATCTACAGCTCTTCCATTGCAGATTGTGTCCGAGCTGGGGGAGCAGCGAGAGAGTCTGCTGAGGAGTCAGCGAGGTCTCCATAACGCCAATGACGGCCTTTCCAAGTCCCGGACAATTTTGCGTGCGATGCACCGAAATGTGTTGTACAACAAACTCACACTTGTCCTGATAATATTGCTGGAGGTCTTCATTCTCGGCGGACTGGTATATATTAAATTCATTCATCGTTCCTGATTGGAAAATTGTCAGAATATCAGTGGAATTTTACGGCAAGGAATCGCCCAAAAGTATGTTTTTGTTATGCTATCAATTCCATCGTAAACCATAGCATTAATTTTTACAACCCTTTGTTCTGTGAGTTTGTGGCGGAGTTTCAAAATAAAAGAGCTTTTTAAGAAACAAAAATTTTCCTTGGGTCATTTTTCTTTGGGGGAAATTATCATGCGCGCCTTTCGGTGGATTATTTGTGTGATTGACCGTCACGAGGCGCTGTCAGTCTGTCGGGGAAAGTGGATCGTGCATTTAGGGGCGCAATTTTATCGTGAAAAACGGTAAGAAAATCCCATTTCCTGCCAATTATACCACTTGCTTCCCTTCCTGAAATCACTGTAAAGCTTTAGCCAGTACTATTTTCCCGCGTGGTGCACTTTCCGATGCGGAAATCGCGCGGAACATGCAACAAGTTGATCATGACATTTTGATGTGGAGGAACGCCATGATTGTTGGTGCCGCGTTTACACTGAAGCGTCAGATCGCCCGCAGATCCGGATGAATTTGGGCTGAATTTCTAAAGAAGCCGGGCTGCAGATGCTACAGTGTGAACACACCCCGATAAATTACTCCTAAATTCCACGTCAGAGAAATTGTGATAAATTTTGACCTCAAGCGAGGCTTTTTGCCCCTGAATTTGGATGAATCCGGGAAAGTGGTTTCCCTGAATGATTGCTAAATGTCCTTTCAGGCCGAACTTGGAGCATCGGGATGAGTGCGAGGGGGCGCAAGAGAGGCCGCAAGGCCGTGATCAATGTGCAGATTAACGAGAATAATGAGATTGAGTGCATGGAGATGGATGAGAATTCGCAGGACACTCAGGATTCCCAGTATCTGGACATTTCTGAGCCACCCAGTCCAGCTGTGCCGGATTCCAAGCATCTCACGATCAACGTCCAGGAGGAGACAGTTGTGGAACATGTGTGTGGCAAGTGCGGGAAGGTTTATCGGTCTCTGGGAGCGCTCAAGAGACACTTGGAGCTCTGCAGATCCGTTGAGTACTCAGAGTATAGTCAGGAGGAGAGTATTCTGCCTGAGGACCAGCAGGATATCGAAGTGGTGTCGGTGAAGAACGAGGAAGAAGCTGAAACCAGCGTGAAGTATGAAATTGAAGAGGGCTTCAAGAAGCCACTGCCGAAGAAGAAGCCTGCAAAGAAATCGCCGAAGAAGGACAGCAAGAAGTCACCGAAGAAACTCTGCTACTGCTGTGACGAAGATCTGGCCTCAGCTCACGTGAGTCTCCTTGAATTGCTCGCCAATCACACACTCTAATAAAGACATTTTGCCTTCCAGATGGGCCACATCAAGTGCAAGCAGTGCCCGAAATCCTTCAAGAGTCACAAGAATCTATCCAAGCACATCTCAATGCTTCACTCGCCCATCACGTACTTTCCTTGCACCCTGTGCAAGGCCACGTGTCCCAGCCAGGAGATTCTGGATCTACACGTTGACGCGCATAAGACGGGAAAGCCGTACTCCTGCCAGAAGTGTGGCAAGGATTTCACGAGGAAATACCATCTGGAGCGCCACTTGACGCACACCGGATGCGATCGCGAGCGCCCCAAAGTTGAGCTGCCCTGCGAGGTGTGCGGCAAGGTGTTCTCGCGCATTGACAATCTCCGTGAGCACTTGCGAGGCCACATGGGTCAGACGCTGAGGAAGAAGGACTATCAGTGTCCGCACTGCGAGAAGGCGTTCTACGGTCTCTCGCTGCTCAACATTCACATTCGCACGCACACGGGAGAGCGTCCCTTCTCCTGTGACCTCTGCCCCAAGGCATTTCCCTCGAATGGGGCGCTCAGGAAGCACAGGAGGATGCATACCGGCGAAAAGCCGTACGAGTGCAAGACTGTGAGTAATTTTTCTCACTCAATTAAGCCAATTATGCCTGAAATTATTATTGTGTCTTTTGCAGTGCTCGGCGCGCTTCTCGGCAAAAGAGACGCTCAATCGTCATGTGAAGATTCACACGGGTGATCGACCTCATAAGTGCAATATTTGCGGAAACAGCTTCATCCAAGCCACACAATTGCGTGCTCACATGTTCCATCACACGGGCGAGCATGGCTTTGAGTGTAAATACTGCAAGAAGTCCTTCAACAGGAAGGCACGGTGAGCTCATAACATTTTTACAATGTCTATTGATTAAAGAGGGGTTAAAGAGCAACTCTGCCAATTGGGTGAACAGTTTAAGGCTTTCCGAAGGCATTAGACGTGAAATTGATTTCCCAATTAAGCGATATCTTGACAAGAAATCGTGTGTAAACCATTAAGAATTTTTCGTCTAGTGTTTTTCCATGACTATAATAAATTCTTTCTCCACCTTCACTTTTTTTTTAGACTTGTGTCGCACATCAAGTACACGCACGAGGGTGAGAAGCCACTCGAGTGTGCCGAATGTGGCAGGACTTATTTGAGGAAGGAGGAGCTCATTCGTCACATGGAGATGCACAATGGGATTAAGAGTGAGTTGATAAAATTGGTCAATAATTCAGTCCTTGTGTCCGGCGGTGACCTTCAAAAAGCGCCTTGCTGAGTCATTTGAAAGTTTTCCACTGAAATTGATGTGGGGTTTTTTTGTGTGTGTGTTTTTTTCTTTTTCTTCTCTAGACTATATTTGCGAGACATGCAACAAGAAGTTCTCCACGAGGACAGCTCTCAATTCACACTTGCACATTCATCAGCCGGTCGATCCGTCTGCCTGCAGTGAGTGCGGAAAGGTGTTCATCCGCGTGGATTGTCTGTTGCGCCACATGAAGTCGAAGCACAGGAGTGCCGTTGAGGAGATTCTCATAAATGCGGAGAAGAAGAAGATCAACGATCGCATTCGCGAACTTGGAGTGGTGATTGAGAATGCGCCGATTGTCTTTGCCGATGATGATGGTGTCTTCGAAGGGACGACGTACATTATCGAGGAGTTTGATGGAGAGCCACAGAATATTGAGTTCACGGAAGTGATTCCGTACAATGAGGAGGATGATATGATTGTGGAGGACAGTGAGAAGGTGGCAAAAGTCAAGGAGGAGCCGAAGGAGAAGAAGAAAGCCACACCACAGAAGAAGCAGAGGGTGAAGAAGGTGCCTGTCGTGGAGGAGAGTGTCAAGGAGGAGCAGGACGAGAGTATCTTCATGAGTGATGAAGAATTGAAGGAGAGCATCACGAGATTGCTCAACACTCTCATCGATGATGACACTCTGACGGGTCTGGGATGGCCTGAAGAGCCGGTGGAGAATGTTCTCAGCGCGCTGATCAAGCAATGCGGACACACGCCGTCAGACTACACGGATTGCGTGGATTACACGTCAAAGATGAGGGAGAATGCCAAGATTCTCTTCACTGTTGTGATTGAGAATGATGTCATCAAGTCAATGCTGAACAATCACACGGTAGATGAGGTTATAAAGAAAGTGCTGAAGATGGCCAAGAGCTCGTAGATTCAGCAAAATCAAGCATATTTCAGTATGATATTTAAGGGCTTCGCTGTGGTGAGTCTGTATTTGGAAAAAAATGTCTTTTTATATTTTTAAACTAACTTTTAAAATAATCTTTCAAGTCAGATTTATGTAAAAGTTATGAGAAGTTTCAGGAAAGTTTATTCTTTTATTGATTTTATTATATGAAATATTGGATTTGATTTTTTTCCTTTTGAACGCGATGCAGGAACTTTTAAGAATCAAGAGTAGTTTTTAGAAAAAAATATTATAGTTTGATCTTTGGATTTGCTATCAATTTTATGATGTATTGACGAGAAAAGGAGTTTTATGTAAGCAATAAATATTTTTTGATTTAAGAATTGCGGAAAACTTTTCTGTGTCAATTTTCAGGAATCTCTAGAAAATCGGTATTTAATCGTAAGCTCTGTGATATTAGCTGTATAATTAGTCTCTCCATTGGACAATGTGAATATGCCATAACTCTTAATTATGTCGATTCTAATTGATACAAGTCATGAAGCAGCCTTTATTGCTCATGGACATCCAATGGATGTTTTCTTCTCCCGAAGACTCACTGTCCAGAGCGGTCAAAATATGCCCCAATACTCACGAGTGTGTCCTTCTGTGGGTCAATGGGCGTCTTCCAGCGCGGTGTGATGTAATTTTTGGTGTCAATGTTAATCGAATATGAAGTATTTAGAGGTGTCCTGCGCTGAGTTGGGCACACTATTGTGGTAGAATGGCCCAAATTGACCGTGTTTTTTGTCCGCGTCGCCAGGACGACCGTTGATATCAACAAAGCCGCGCACAATTTGAGCCGAGAGAGGCGAGCTATCCGTCCAAGTGAGGCGTGAGCAGTGCTCGGGAGACTTGCTGGGGTGTAACATGTGTGATTGGTGTGCACGTGAGACTGAGATTGTGCAGCCATGAGTGGTGTGAATGAAGCTGTGATCAAGAGGACCCAGGAGACGCTGGGGAAGTTCGTGAAGAGACCGCCGCTGACGGAGAAACTGCTGCTGAAGCCACCGTTTCGATTCCTCCATGATGTCATAAATGTGGTACGTAACACCCCCGCGAAAATGGCTATCGCACTGACCATCGCGCTCTCTCTCTGACGGGGTCTGGTGGTGGATGAGGAGTGGGCCAATCGACCCATTTGCGTCTCATTCGCCACCCACACTGTGCACTTATGTGGGAACTTTGTGTGACCCAATTCCGTCGGTCACAGCTGAATTTGCGCCCAATTACAGGTGATCAAGGAGACGGGGTTCCTGAAAGGATTGTACACGGCGGAGGAGCTGAATTCGGAGAATATCAAAGATCGAGATGCCAAAATTAAATTTCTAGAGAAATTAATCAATATTGTCGGTAGGAAAGAGTTTTATCGATTCCCCGGGAGTCCCGAATGAATTATTCACCTGTCCTTCTCTCCCGCAGCGGTGGTTACCAAGGCGGAGCTGAAGGTGCGACCGTCGAAGATTGTGGCCGGGCAGGAGCCCGAGAGGACCAATGAGTTGCTGCAGGCCATTGGGATGGCCATTGAGCGGAAGCTGGACAGCAGGCAGGCCATAGAGGCGGCGAAGGCGGGAAATGCGCCCGCCAAAAAGACTTCAAAAACTCCCGCGGCGACCCAGAAAACAAAGCCATCACCCACGACAACGGTGGCGACAAAGGGTTCGAAATCTGTGGGGAAAGTTGAGAAGGCAACAGAGAAGAGAGCAAAACCCGCTGACACTGAGAAGAAGCCCAAAGCGGAGGCAAAAGTGGCAAAGCCCGTGACGAAGAAGGAGAACCTGATAGTGAAGAATGAGAAGAACAAAAAGGATCAGGATAAGAAGAGAATAGACAGTGGAATCAAATTGGAGGATTCACCCAATGAGCAGGAAACGAATCGTGAGGATTCTCCGAAGGGAATTCAACTGACTCTCGAAGCGACGCCGCAGATTGATCAAGTTCCTACTGAGAAAGTCGTAGAAGAGCCGGTTAAGGTTGTTGAGGAGAAACCCGAAGTCAAGCCTGAGAATCCTGTTCAGGAAGTGCGGAAAGAGCGCGATGAACTCGTGGACGTCATTGATGAGGAGGCAGAGCGTCGTCGGAATGAGAAACGCCCACCGAAATCCGCTGAGGAGGTCGAAGTGCCTCAGCCTGAGGAGCCAGAATCGCGTTCTGAGAGTCATCAGAGGAAGAGAACGAAGTCTTCGGAGAAGAAAGTGAAGAAGGTGAAGGAGGAGCGAAAGCCCTTGACTAAGCAGGCGAGCGTGGATGGAAGTGGAAAGATACAGAATGTTCCGCGCCCGAGAACTTCCTTGCGACCACCGAGTGTTCGACCGGCTTCGGCGCGTCCGGGAGCGCCTCGGAGGCGCGACAAGAACGTCGAGATTGTTCTGCAGCCTGAGGAGATGGTGAAGATGGGAGATATCAGTGTGAAGATGGAGAATTTCTCGGTGGATCTCGAGGACGATGGGGAGAATCTGATAATCATTGAGGATTCTACGCAGCGCGATGATCCAATGCCATCTCCCGCTGCCCTGGAGGGTGTGGACGCAGGTCAGGAGCATGGGCATCTGGTGCAGCAGATTCTGGAGACGCAGAAAGGACTGACTGGGGGAAAGGGCGCATCAGAGGAGGAGAAGAAGGACGAGTGGAGTGATCGTCGCACGAGGCAGACTTCGACGCAGCAAATGGACGCTCTCAGAGACTCCATCCAGAAGCTGACCAGAGCCGTGAATCCTCTGGGGAAGCTGATGAATTTCCTGCAGGAGGACATCGATTCCATGCAGAGGGAGTTCAATATGTGGCGCGAGATGCACCAGATGGCTCTCAATGAGCTGAATCGCGAGCGATCTCACTCTCAGCCCGCCACGGAAGCCCTGAAGTCGCTGGAGGCGTCAATACAGGAACACATCGAGCTTATTGACATCAGTCGTGGCAATATTCTGCACAATGAGCAGAAAATTGCCAAGCTTCTCACTGATACCTAATGACAACGTCACGATCTCTCACGAGCACACAAATTCATCGTCACTGGGAAAGCCCATCTTCACTTCCTGCCTCCGCAATTTGCACACGACGGCAAATTGGAGCGCGCCCCCACACACACCCCACCTTCAGACACTGTGCAACTCATTCTCTCTCTCATCATCTATTTATCAGGTATTTTTTATACAATACGTTCTCTTATCATTCCTCTTATCAGCTCATAGACGTAAACACAACATTAAATATTTTTGGTTAAATTTCCACAATCATTTCCTCAATATAGAATTTTATTCTTATACAGTTGCTAATTTTCATCTCAACTCTTTTTTTTGTGTTGTTTACGTACTCTTCGTCATTTTATGTACAAATTGCATATGTACAATATTGTGTGTGTGTGTGTGTGTTCAATGATTCATTTGCAATAAACTTGAAGAAGAATTAAATGTGATTATATTAAATTGAATTAATTATTATTGAATTGCGTGACTTTACAGTGGCGGCATCGCTGTTTTTTTGGGAACTTCCATTCATTATTATTATTGTTATTATTTGTGAGTTTGTCGCTTGGTTGACTGACAACATGACCCACTTTCATCTCAATGTTTGTGTTGATACTAAACTCCTTTCAAACACAAAATTCCCAGAGTCCAAAGGTAGCTTCTCAAGTGCGCCCAGCAATCTTTCCACCACTGTACATTGAAATCAAATGGGAGGCACGAAGAAAATACTTGATGTAAAGTTCTCTCTTTCTCTCTCTATCATTGCATTATTTACAAGTAGTAATATCATGTGATTTATTCATGTCTTCTCTTATATCTTTTTTTTCTTCTTCTTCTTTTCTTCTCCTCACTAACTTATAACAATATTTCTTTTCATAAAATATTTAGAGTCTAATATTACAGAACAATTGTGTGGAAATGGAATAAACCAAAGGAAAGTCTCTTAATTTTCACAAATTCTCTCTCGCTCCTTAATTACAAGAATCTTTTTCACCCATTTTCCGAGATGTGCTCAAAACACTTTATTTCCAATTCAACACGCACTCTTCACATCTCTCGCTATCAATTCAATAATTACTGAATTATACTCAATAAGGCAATTGATATCATGTTCATATTGAGAAGAAAAAAAAATCTCTCGTTGAGAGAGCAAAAATCCAGCGAATTTAGACAAAGAAAATCTAATGTATACATGGCGCCTAGAAAGCACTAGAGAAAGAGTTTGCCCGCAAATATTTCTCTTTGCCCTTTTTTGCATTTCTCCATGACAAAAAATGCGGAATTTATTTATATTGGGGGCGAAAGGCGAGGGTGCGCTTCAAAAAGTGGGATCGCGTATGAAAATAAATCGATATTTCTTGGTGCTGCCGTGTAAAAGACGGAGGAAAAAAGAGCGCCCGTGATTAAATATATTGATCTGTTTTAATTAACATTTATGCTTTGGAGGGTTAACTTGTCGTTCTCTCTTATCGACATTTGTCGCCTCTTTTCTCTCTCTCGCTCTTGCTCTCCTTATTATTTCTCAGACTTGAGAATTTGTCATTGGGAGACACCAAAGGATATGTTTTCTTCCCATCAATAAGTACCTCTCGACTTGCTGCCATTCCACGCGCTGCTGCGCCTCAAAATTGTGCTCTCTTCACCAGACACTTGCTCTCGTCGCTCCCATTCCGCAGCATCCGACTCATGTGGCCACGCAAATTGGGCAAATTGATGCAGTAGAGCTTGTAGTAGAACTTGGGCAGGGCATTCACCGAATGCTACAACTCGAACAGCTCATCCTGCTGTCTCTCGAGTCGCTGCAACGAGTTCTGCACGTGGCGCCCCTGCGTCATCATGATCAGGTGACTGGAGTCGCTGCCCGATGAGCTGTTCCGGTGGTGCGACGACGAGCCTGGGTGGCTGTAAGACGCCGAGTTCGACCGCTTGCTCGTGGGCGAGAACATGCCGTCGCCATCCACACAGTCCGGAGACAGGAAACTGCATTAGAGAGAAAATTAATATCCATTAGTGATGTGAAGCTTTTACAGAAATCCGTCTACAAAAGCTGAATTGATTAAAAAGGCTTCTTTGCCGAAGAACCTTGTCGAAAGAGATTAAGTTCAGCTAGTCGAATACTTAACAAAAGACATTATGTGTCCATAAAATCATTACATAGTACATAATGAACATGTCTCTAGTCTGTAGTCATTACTTTCAAGATTTTTAACCTTCTTTTGGCACAATTCACCCGTGCAACTTTAAACGTCTCTTGCAAAAAGCAAAAATCGTGAATTGACTTCTTAAAAAAAAAGTGATATTCACACGAATAACGCATTAAAACCGGTGACACAGAAATCAGATTCTTTCAAATAGTCTCACGAAACCTTACACGAATGATTTTAGCTACGATTTTGTCTACACCTAATGCTTTCCCAGTTACTGTTTTTATCCCTCGTCTATTAAGTGTGCAAAACTATTTTTATCAGAGACATACATTTGTTGCTACGCAACATTGCAATCCTCATGAAGACAGAAGATGAAGCAAAAAAAAATTCACTTTGCAACAAGAAAGCAAAAGCGTGACCCAACACTTTCACAACTCAAACACGGCCAACGAAAGCGCCAAAAGAGGCAATATTTGCTTCAGAAATTACACCAAAAGCATGAAAATTGGCCACTGATCTCGATCTTTCTCTTGAGAAAATGTCTCAATTCAATTTCCCGGAGTGCGCTTCTTATCACCGGATGTCAGGCTGCAAACCGCCTCTAATCTAATCTCCCTGGCAATAAACTGCGCACTGTCTAGCATTGTCTGGCAATATGGAAGCGCTGAGAAAACTCACTCAATACTATTCTGGGACTTCTTCACGTATTTCCGGGACTCGGCGATGGTGCTGTCGATCTTCCCCAGGAACTCATCCACGCTCCGTCTGTTCTCCTCGTCCGGCGACATGGCCATGTGGTCCAGGGAGCGACTGTTTGCGTTGGTGTCCGTGGAACAGCTGCCGGCGAAGGTGTTGGCTCGCTGCGGCGGCAGCGAGTGGGGGCGCTCATCCTTGGGCGCGTACGGCGAGTTCCGATCCACGGGCACCATTAAGTACTGTCGCAGGAAGAGACTGTCCGAGGCGTACAGGCGATTGGCGCGCCGGATTTGCTCCGTCTGCAAGGAGAAAGGCAATGAGAAAATCCGTCTGGCAGCGAGAAAACGAGGAATATCTCACCGAGCAGCCGTATTTCAGGGCGATTCCCTGCAGCGTGTCCGTCTTTTCCACCTCATGGCGAACGAGCACGTCGGTATTTCTCACGTGATTGCATGTGCTGCCGTATTTCTTGAGAGATCTGCCAGATTCTCTAATTGATTGCTTCTCCGTGAAGAACGAATCTTCCTCCATTTGTGTCACTATTTCTGTGAACTGGTACAGCGCAAAATTATCATTAATTCACCACCCCAAGCGCACCAATTGATTGGTCAATGCAATGAGGAGGAAATGAGCGAGCTTCTTCGCAGGATTATCGGGAAAATTGCCTTATTCTCGCACTTATTTGCAACCGAGAAAACACACAAAAATTTCCACTTCTTTTGACACACTGCCACAGTGCATTCGGGTTGCCAGGCGCGAAAGCAGGGCGGACAACAGCAAGGCATTAATGCCCACTCTTTATCAGGATGGAAATCTCTTAAGAAATTCCCTCCAAAATGTTGCATTTCATGAAATTGTGATTTCAAGACATTTCGAGCTCACGCGTGAAAGTTTCTCCGTACAGAAATTATCCCCATTTCAGACAATTTACATATCGCTTCAATTTCGGGATGGTAGCAAATGCTCTAATTGTGAGAATTGTGAGAATTACAGTCAATTTGATTTTCTCGCCATCAGACTCTTCTCACAAGAAGCTTTGTTGGAGTTGTTGACAAATTTTGGAGTGCTAATGGAACGCCTTATGATCCAGATATATCATCAAAGTAAACTACATTAACCGCTCAATTTTGGAGCATATAAACAATCTTGAACATTGACGTCCAAACAGACAAAGTTCATTCTCACAGAGATAATTTCTATATACATGACTAGAGATTTCCTCCCTGAATTATCACCTCCAAATCACAAATCATAAGTTCAAACTTCCGATACATTTGAGTGTTTGGCAATGGAGCATCGAACATTTCATAAAAACGTTACTGATAACATGTGTTCCGAAGGCCGATAAAATTAATTGCTCTTTGCCAAATAGATGTCTTAATTGCGAGGCAAATTAATTAAATCCCAAATGATTGTCTATATTGACTGCTGTGGAGAGATAGGGAAATTGCTAAAAGTTCTGCGCCAAAGAAACGCAATTGAAGTGATCAAAACTGGTTCAGCGACAAGTTTTTTTTTCTACACTTCAAATCAAACAATGTATCGACCACATTTTCCTCTATTCTCACACATACAAATCGATTTTTCGCCAGCTCAGAAGGTTCACTGTGGAATATATGACTAATATGTAGATTTGCACGTAGGAGAGCAATTAGAAAAAAATAACACGTGATGGAAGATGAATATTTTAACGAGATTAAGTAGAGATTCTTGGAGAATATCGTGGTAATCTTACGCCAGAATGCATTCGCCAGATTTTGACTGCTCCCACGATGAGGTCCATGGCCATGGATATGAAGAGCCCTCACAATTTAATCTCCGGATGAACACTTGAGGTCACTCAAAGGTAAGATTTGCAAGGCATTTAAAAGCAATAAATCACACGGAAGGTATTCGATCGCGATGTAAATCAATAACTGAGAATTCTTTGATAAGAAATAATGAGCACTCACTCACAATCTCGGGTAATTGAAACGCGATTTTGGCCACTGTTCATGTCTCACTGGCTAGTCTATAAATCACACTCGAGATTAGACGAACGACTGAGCGAATTTCGCCAGTGCTGTAAAAAGTCTTATCAATCTCTGACCCGATACTGTGTGCGTTTCTCCCTGAACAACAGCCTATTTGATACTGTTATCTAAACACATTCGTCACTGCGTTGCTCCGGAGAATCGAGTTGAGATTTGCTGGTGAGAGGGAGAAGCAATATGGGTGATTTACACATGCAAATAAGACGGAAACAGCACAAAAGATCAGTTTTTGGGTTCAATTGACTCATTGTTGGGAGGTCTGGAAATTTTTTTCCTCCGTGCTCTCGCTTTTCCATCGCTCCGAAGTTTATCATTTTCCTGTATCCAAGCGAAAAATTGGCATGGGCTTTTCGCTTCTTATTATTTGTTTGTGATTGTTGCACTGCGGCGCTGTGTTTTGTGCAGAACGAGCGCTCGTGTATTTTCACATCACCTTTTTCACTTTTCCTTGGAAATTGGACTATTGTGGGAGCATTTTTTCACACAGAACCACACTATACTGTCGTAAATTTCGCGATACCGTGTTTATTTGTCAGCTCTTTGAAGAGAAATTTAGAGTAATCTTGGTTGTAAAGTGACAAACTCGATGTCTTATCAGTTGTACCGGCAGACAACGGTAGGAATTGCTCTGCAAGAGTCTCTGGATGAACTGTTCAAGGTAAGGAGCTTTTTATGTTTCATCCGAGAGGGTTAATTGCAAATTTTTAGAAAAGAAAAATGATTTTTTCGGTATTTTCTGATAAACTTTTAACCTTCAAGAAGTGTAAGAGATTTGTGGGCATTTATTTTGAATTAACCGCTCGAGCGAGTGGGAAATTTTCCACTGTCTCGTGGTCAACTTCAAGCGACACGAGAAAACGTCAAAGCGCGTCAAAATATAAGTTCCTGAAGATGATTTTTTTCTGAAATTCATCAAGAAAATCAGTGCGTTTCTTCATTTATTGTCCGTATAAGTTGACTTGACAAAATGTCCTATCAGTTGTACAGAAATACAACTCTGGGAAACACATTGCAAGAGAGTTTGGATGAATTGATTCAGGTATGAAAGAACTTGTTGCACTGTTTACCTATTTTCTCTCATTTCTGCCTCATTTCCACTGATATTCCTACAAAATCTGATGAATAGACACGTCAACTATTCAATTAACATGATACCAATGTGTTTGATTAGTTTCGCTGTGTTTTTCTCTGGGGAATTGCAAAGAAAAATCCGCCATAACCTCATAAAACTTGATGGTTTCCTTCCTCTGTTGCAGTATGGACAAATCACGCCACAACTGGCTCTGAAGGTGATTCTGCAGTTCGACAAGTCCATCAATGCTGCCCTCTCGAACCGCGTGAAAGCCCGCGTGACATTCAAGGCGGCGAAACTCAACACTTACCGCTTCTGCGACAACGTCTGGACGCTGATGTTGAACGATGTTGAGTTCCGGGAAGTGCATGAATTTGCCAAAGTGGACAAGGTGAAGATTGTGGCGTGCGACGGAAAGAGTGAGTCATATCACAGACCTCATTGCCATCTCTAAGAAGTCCCACTAATTGTGCTTCCCTTGCAGATGCGATTATATCAGAAATGGAAAACGACAAGCGATAATTGGGACTCTCCGGACGGGATCACATTCCAATGCGAGAGTAATATAATTGCACAGTAATCCATGTTGTCTCACCTCCTGTGACGCTTTCACTGTGCACAGGAGTCATCGAATTTTATCGTGTGAATTGCGCTACATTTATTCGGTAAGTGGAAGAGGGTTTAATCACAAGTTTTCTCAGCCGTGGATGGAGAATTCATTTGGCACCGGAGGAGCTCCTTTGGCCCTTGAATATTATATAGAATGATGTGGAATTGTCTCAAAGGAAATACATCATAATATGCAGTAGTTTATCTCTTGACTTATTACTGTAAACCTCGATTTTCCTATTCCTTTGCCAGAGCACAGCCGCTATAAGAAGCTTCCCAGCAGTGAATTCAAAGCATTCAGACATGAAAATATTGATGAAGGATTGAAAAATCGGCAAAATCCATATAATAAATTCTCATTCGCATAAAATGCTTTCAACATTTTCTGTTCTACGTCTGAAATCTATAAATATGAAAAGTATTTAGTCCAGAGAAAATCGAGTTGTTTAAGAAAACATTAAAATTCCATAATTAATAGTAGGGCAAAGGAGGAGATATGAAGAGTAAAATGTTCATAAATTAATGGCTCGTTGTGATATTAAATTACTCGAGGCGTCTCTACAAGCCAATTAACAGCTGAGCCAGGGAATCCTCTAAAGATATTAATGTCTTTCCAACAAGGTAAGAAAAATAAACACGTGGAATCTCTTGCTATTTTCTACGGAATGAGTTCTTGGGCGGGGCGGGATTTTTGGTGAAAAATAAACGAAGAATTCGGCTCCCGACGCTCGTGGAGCTCGAGAAAATAAACAATGACAAAAAATTGTGGCGCTCCATCGAGGGAAAATTATGTATTTGATATTTTCTAGTCGCACCTGTTGTTTTCCCATCTGAGAGACGCTGGAGATTCCTTGAATTCCTGCATTTTATCATCTATAAACGAAGTTGACAATACGGACGTGATTCGGTGGTTCGACACGGGTTTATTGACGACCCATTGTGGGGTACTTTAGAAATACTTTGAATTGCCAAAACAGTCTGGCTGAGAATTTACTTCCTTGTCGTTCTCGTCTGAGTGTGGTTTTTTTTCGAGTAGGTGTGCGAAAAGATGTTTATTTTTCAATGGTTTGTTCCAGGCTTTTCTTAGGATCTCCAACCAGAGAGACGTTTGTTGACATTTTCAGAAACATTCAGAGGTTTTCTTCTATTTTTATTTCAAAAAATATGTTTTAATAATTTATTTTCTATAAATTTCTACGAAAGATATTAAACATGGTGTCTTTTCAATCATCAAGTAAATTTTTTATATTGTTTGTAGAACAGAAAAAGAGTGAATTTAGCACAGAAGACAATCAAAATCAATGTTAAGTGAAACTAAATTCTTTGAATCTGTTTAATGGTTTTAAAATGTGATAGAGATTATTAATTGGATTTCACAAAATTGGCTGACCGCTTGTCTCACAAAGGTTTTTTTTGTTCTTTCATATCCACAGGAATCACAAAGTGAAAATAGAGCTGCAAAAGTACAGGCTAAATATGCATTTTCCCCATATATATTTAACTGCTACTGACAGAAGTGAAATTATTAATAATATCGGCAAAGAGAGAAAGAAGCGTCGTTTTCCAATTCCTGCGCTTTCGATTTGTCTCCTGGCGCGGGACGTTGGATTTGAATGTGGTGGGAAAGCGCGAGGGGGTGGTTGGGCGCTGGAGGGACTCGCTCCGCAGACGCACTCAGTGTGGGAAAATTGAAAAGGATGGCAATTGGCAGTGCGTCGCGACGTTTGAACAGAGTGAGTGGCGTCGTTGGCTCCACATGATTTAGGTTGATGCTGGAGTTGAGCACATCAGAAGCGTTCGGAACGCCGGCAACTCCAGTCGCATCGAGACTGTCGTGCGAGACTGTCGAAGCGCGCGCGAGACTTTCCCGCCCAGCAAGAGTTGAAGTGATTTTCCGTGAACGCTGTGAAGAGCATCCTCTCGAATGTAACAGTCCTTTTCATCTATTTTTTCTCTGCAATGGTCCTTCGTGAATTTGGCACGAGAGCGAGCGCGTGTGGGTTGGGGATAATCACGATGAATAATTTTCTCATCATCTCGAGTGATGATTTTTTTGAGCTTGAGGTGCTTCGAGAGTGTGAATAAATAATGTGTGAGAGGAAATTAAGAGATGATTAACATGGGATTACACTTTTTGCGCGCGCGGGTGCGAGGAAAAAAAAGCGAGGAGTTTTTCAGCTCGGAAAAGTGATTGCAAGGGAGATGAAAGCTTGTATGTTGAGGCGAAATCACACTAAAATGCCACTATTTTCTCGGCAATTTTCTCACTCGTCCTTAAATGACGCTTTCCCACGGATCAGCAGAAACACCCAGGGAGAAAATGAGTAAATGAAAGTCAATGACGTGGCTGATTTTCTCCTCCAGGATCCCTTCCTACATTTTTTTTTGCCACACACAACGAGAATTCGCAATGCTCGAGGGAAAGTTGTGCGAGGGGATTTTCAGTGATAATTCGTCCTCCTTCCGTATGTGGGTGATGCGTAAAATCTCTGGGTATCGCTCCGCCCGCAGCTTGATGGGTGGAGAGGAGGAAAAAGAATAAAAACTCTCTTTGATATTCCATTTTTATTCTTTTCCCAGCAATAAATTCAATTTCGCCCTGTGAGACGATTCCTCGAGACGTTTGGCGGGCTGGGGGAGTTAATAAAATTTGCTAAACTGAAATTCGACGTCGATGCAAAAGTTCCGTCTTTATGCTCGGGTGCCAGAGAAAAGGAGCTCCAAATGCTCAATCATCAATCATTGAGTGAGAGTTTTATTGTCATCATTCCCCAATTACTGGGCTGGGATCAGCTTTCTTCCACCCCACATGTTTATGATTTTCCACCGACAGGACTTCCAAACCACTGAGGATTTTCTTTGCCTGATCTTTCCGCCAGACTTTTAATTGATTGATTTGCCTCCGAGTCTTTTGGTGTCTATTTTGGGGAATATTTTTTTCCATTCTCTGACTCGACCTTTTGGAGTTTCCCAGGAAACTCGTTTACACTTCCTCTCCCTCAATTGAACTTAGTTTGAGACTGTCAGGATTTATGACGTCCAAAATTTCCATGGATACTGCACTGAAACCTCACTTTTATTAGTGAAATTGTCTGCCTCGAAACTGATTTACACGTAAGTTGTCATCAAAAAGTCCCAGAGGTTTTTATTGTAATTGTTATGATTTTCCTTTATTAAGTGCAACACTAATTAATATTCAAAATTAATTTGTTGCATACATTTGCTCGAACATTTAGCAAACAATGGCAAAATGGTGATATTGAAATGATTCTATTGCATACTAATAATTAATTAAAAAAATATCGCTCTTGTAATCATCTCTTGTTTTTTTTTCAAAAGCTACGCTGCGAGTGATGTGAAATAAATGCGTAGCATAATAATTATATATGGAATTTTTGTGAAAGATAACAGAAAAAACAACTATAAATGAAACTGATTCGTGTTATTATAATGGGAATTGACAAGCTTTTTGTCAGAGTTTTTACTCTTGTATAAATATGTGAATTAATCGAATATCAACTCTCATGAAGCACAAATTTTTAATCTTTTATTTTAAATTGGATGTTTGGCAAAAAATATCATGGAAAAAATGATGTGAATCTGATTTATTTTTAACGATTTTTTCTTTGAAATTCCTTTGATGGTCCAGTTTGCGTAGATCGGATTTGCATTTCGCCCATTTGCTCATGTCGCGTGATGTATTTTTGTGTGCAAATTGCAGCTGTAACAGATGTTCCAACTAACAAGCGCGCCATAATTGAGCGGAAAGATGTCTCGAATGGTGGAAAAAGAAGTCTCTAAATTTAAATTAAAAACGATAACAAGATTCGGATGTTCCACCAAAGTCATCTGAAACATTGTCTGTGGTATATCTCGAGCACTTTTTTGTTCTCCATCTCCCATTTCAGTTTTCTCTTCCTTTCTCCGTCTTTCTTGTGCAAAAATCTAATTTTGCTGCACAAAAGACTAGAAATGAAAAGATTCAAGTGCATGTCAGAGTGGGAGGTTTGGGATTCGCGAGAAAAGGCGAGACGAATTAATTAAAGTTCAAACAAAGAATCTCATTCACATTTTTTTCACTCAGTTGGAAAAGTTAACCAGAAGAACTCTGTTGTATGCCTTTTCTGGCCAACATTAATGGACACATGCGGGAATTTTTCAAGACAGTTTGTTGTGAGAGAAAACACTCCTACGCTTAAAACGTCCTTGCAATGTTTTCAGTGAAAACATCTTGTCAAAATATGTGATAATTTTATTATTTGTAATGTTTTTGTAAGAGTAAGAAAAGATAACTGGGTCAGTTTGGTTGAAAATAGACCAATTTTTCTCTGATAATTTCTTCACATTTAACCTGTACATTTTTTTCTTCATTGGAAATTGTAGAGTTTCTGATCTAATAGGGCGTAATTTGTGTGAAAGCAATCTTTTACAGATAAAAAAGAAAACATCTTAATAAATTGTATAAATAAACAACCACTCAGACGAATTAATTTCCACGAAAAACGACCATTTAATGTTGCGATTAGGAAATGATCCAAACATCGCGTGGAAAAAGTTTTTTGGTCCACGGTGGTGGAGAATTTTCGGTGGAAAACAAAGACATTTTGTTGATTTATTTAAAGAATTTTTTCACCGCTCGTGTCAATTGAGGGGAAAAGGGGTGAGGAAAATGATGAAATTGCCATTTGTCTCAGAATTTTGCCTTTTGGAGCTAACAAACACTCAATTTTACTCCCTCCTCGTTTGTGTATCTTTTTTTCCTCACTCATTTCTATCTCATCTCTCTGCCTGCACCCATTCCACCGTCGCCACTTCAGATGGAGCTTCTTTTTTTCCGCTTCACCATCTTCGCATGGAGAGTTGAGGAGTGCGAGGCACTCCAAGTGCACATAAAACTTCAAAGATTTCCCATTATTTTGATTTAAATCACCAATTGTGACTCTATCTTCCCGCACAACGCTTTAATGTATGGAACTCTCGGAGTGGAAGATGCACACACACATCATTGAATAAATCCTGACGACAAGAAAATTTCAATGACTGGGTGAATTTGCACATTTTCCAACACTTTCCAACCATCTTCCACACTTTTTGTGCTTAATCTTGCGCGCTGATATGAAGTGAAAATTCCTATTGAAACATGTGTCTTCATTCTGATGCATTTTTGAGTATATCCATTTATCTCACATCCACTTTCAATTCATCGCCGCACTGCAATTATTCAGCTCCTGCTGCTGAGTTTCATGTCCTTTCGGAGGACACTTGGTGACACCGATGGTGCGGTGGGTGGAAAGTCAATTTAATATTCATAGAAGATGGTTTTCATATTTTATCATGCTTTTTTTCTTATCAAATTTAACACACGGACGACATTTAAATGCGGAGACAGACACGTGCCAAATATGACGTCGCATATGACAATATTATGCAATAGAGTACGCCACATGTGACCACATTCTAACTCGACATCTCTGAAACAAAATTATTTTTTTACTTTTCGACTAAATCCAATTTTGCGCTTTGAAAGTCACTTTTGGTTTAATTTTTTCGCAAAATAATACCATTTAACATGATGAGATTGAGAATTTACAAGCAATCATTGGAGATTTTCAGAATTAATGTTCTGCGGTCTGTCATAAATTTGAGACAAATAATATTTTCAACAGAAAACATTCTACAGAAACGGAAATACCAATTAGCATTTCTGTGATTGATGATAGTTCAACTGAAATGGCATCTTTCTGTCATGCATTTGGTCCTCAAACTACCACAATTTTGCAAAAACTAGCACCCTTTTTTAAGGTGATTAATAGCATTTTCGTGCAACGATCCGTGAAAATGATCCTCTCACTCATTCTCGAACGTGCCAAATTTGCGACAATTATGCACTTGAACCACATATGAGACTCATGAAATGCGGTCTCATATGGATTTTACTGAGAGAAATATTGTTGAAATTATCTATTTCCAGTGTTTGTCCTCTCTTGTGGGTGGATTCACACTGGCAGTGCTTCTTGTACAGTGTCTGGAGGACGTCGACTCGACGAGCAAAAAGTCGCTGGAGCATTTATGCCTTTTCACAAACTATAACACCCTGACATTAATGATGAGTGAAAGTGTACTAAAACTTATAATTGTCTTCTCGGAGAGGGAATAATTCCGCCATCATCGTGTCTGGGTTGAGGAAAATCAACAGTGTGCTTTCTCGTGGGCAAAAGAAGTATTTCAACTGTGGGTTTTTAATGGCATATTTTCGCATCATCAGAGCTTTGATGTGATGGACTGCGAAGTGGTCTTGAACGCAAAATCTCAGTGTTGTCGAATCCGGGTGTGATTGGTAATTGAGACAATTGTGAGTGAAATCTTGTGAAAGCACTGAATCATCTCAATTCTGTTGCCCTTCTCCTCCCTTGCTGTTCTCGTCTTACCACGAATTTATTGGATAAACAAGAAAATAAGGATCCTCCAGTCTATACAATTTATGTGATGTGCATTCAGTGGTTCGACTGACCAAAAATAGACGTTCACCATTTGTGCACATACGTTATTCAACATAAACAAGACAAATACAGAAGAGTATAGAATAGGAAGGAGTGAAGAATCCAAGACGACGCCAGAAGGGAATCCTCTGGGGAATATTTCGCAGCTGAGGTGTAAGTGGGCGAGAGGACTGAAAATCCGTGTTTTGTGTCCGTCGCAACAAAAGACTTTTGCCCGTGTGGTGAAGAAGAAGGTGAAATTTCGCCTGCGGGTTGAATTTCCTGGCAGAAAAGGCCACAACTTTGAATTCTTCCGCGGGGAAACGGAACTCCCTTCAACTGCACCGAAGGGAGAAAGAGTGACAAAAACTACACCTATAAAATTGTGTTGAGATTGAGAAAAAGGAGTAAAAATTTGAGTTTTTTTATTCATACGAACCACCAACACGAATTACACTGCTTTTTTGTGCTCAAGAGAGTTTTAAAGTCACACTAAATCGTGTCATCCACTGAATAGAAGGGCGAAAGAGAGAGGGAGTGAACAAAAGGGAAAAAAATAGAGAGAGAGAGTGTGGAATTGAAAAAGAATAATAAAACGTGAATTGTTCGAGTATCTCTTGTTTAAACAACAATAATATCCCTCGAAAAAATTTTCATATTATTTCCCAACAGTTGAGGAGGCGCACAAAAAAAGACCTAAAAGATAAATATTTACATAACTTTTCAACCCCAAGGGTGCTCCTCAGTGAATATGTGTGTATTTTTTTATCTCCTCTAACTATACACCCAGTGCTCCACCCTCGAGACAAATGAAAAACAATTAAAGCACCGGAACAATCTCATCAGCATCATCCCACATTGTTCGTGGTGGTCGCCTGGAAATTCTGTGCTGCATGTTTGTAGCCCTCCACATCCACTCTTGAATCATTCATTAAAATGTGGCACAACACTAAAATCAGTGCTCCAGCGTGGAGGCGCTTCATTGGCTTTGGGGTGCTTCTGCAGATTATTGCTAATTGTGGTGAGTACTTTATGTAACATTGCTAATTCACTGATGCTCCTTCATTGCCACATCCTGCAAAATACCAAATCTCGTCTATTGAATGCACAAGCAATCCTTGAGGTCTATCCATTAACTCCAAGTTACTCTGTGAAATAATTACAGAATACATGAGGTTATATCATATTTGAAAGGATTTCTTCTATGTATGAAAGCGATAGAATAGTCGGTCAAGTTATCCACATATGTATTCTCTATAGTATTAGTTTTATATGTTTGAAATATTTCATAAAGGTAGAAAATGCACAATTTCCCGTAAGAATTATTTTTGCAGTTTGAAGCAGTAAGAAGATTTCACATTTCGGCAAAAAGAAATTCATCGAAAGATCTTTGATTTTGTTATATTTTTAGAGCGCACAATTCTTTTTCCTATGAACTTACTCAACCTCAATTGAAAGCTGAAACATGCTTCAATTGCATGCACAATTCCGGTTAATATATCTCATAGTGAATTCATCACCGATGTAAATTCCGAACGAACATCTTCAGCATCCAATCCAAGTGTTCCAATGGCAAGCCCATGAAAAATTTACAGAAGCCTACACTTCTCCTGCACTCGAGCCTCGCTCCAATACATTAAATAAACTTGCACAAGACAGAGAGACGATAGGAACGGATTCCAAATGTTTCTATATCTGAAGGTGAACGTGACTCGATTATGGTTTGTTGATTTATGTCAACAGCTTCTTTCACTTGGTTTTTTTTCGTGGATATCAGATAGGAAATAAAATTTCCAATAAACAATCTGTGGCATGAAATGGTATCAATTGTAACGAGAAGTGTGCTTTTGCCTTTAATAAACCCCTTTTTGTGAGTCCAATACAATTTCTTCCTTTGCTTTCTTCATTCATTCAGTGATATTTTCAGGAAACGTCCATTGTTGTGTTCAAATTGAAGGAAATCTTCTTCCAAACGTACTAAACCTTTGACGAGCGGCAAAACGTGGGGTGATGGATAAAAAATTCCCGTCCTAATTGATAGCAATTAAATTGCTGTGTTAGTATTTGAGACACGAAATTAAGCACATCCAATAAGCCATGCTGTATTGCCGAAATTATTGTCTCACATTGTCGTTAAGTAGCATCGCAGTGTCTCAAGTCGCAGAACACACATTAAACGCCGAGAGGAGAGTAATCTCCGTCTCGTAGTGTTCCCAGGACTCTCTGGGTTTGGGTTCTACCTTTCTGCCGGTGTCGGGGCGAATGGGTGAGAATCAGAGGCGACAGTGTGCAAATAACTTGGGGATTCTCTGGACTGTGACTCCCCAAAGTGTCATATTTTTGAGGAGATCCCCTCACACTCTTTGGCCATCGTAAATTCTCCTTGTACAGTGAATGCGTGTGATGGGAAAATTGCTTCATTTGTAATTCATTGGCATTTTCCATGTGTTTTTACAGCTTTGCGGGCGGAAAAGAGACTGGGGATGGCAATGTTTGGCACAAAGACGTGTAAAACATGTCTGCAGGTGTGTCCCTACTTTGTTCACCTCTCGCGCGTGTTTTCCTGAATTACAAACAAAGTGTGGAGTTCTCTGTAGAGTAAATTTGCCTTCTGCATCATGCACATCCTTTTGAATTTGAGATGATTTTCCTCAAATTTTAATCTCATAACTCACTGTGTTGTATTATAATGCTCTCTGATGCGAATGTCCTTCTTGGCTTTTCAAAGAAAATCAACTGCTCAGGATGCATTTTAAAATCTCTCTTATACCATGTTGCATCCTATTTTATTAAACATTGTCGTCCAAGTGATGGTGACACAAATTTTCACATAGTATCCCTACCATTAATAAAGTGTCAGACTTTGCACAGAGGAAAGAAAAGACAGCAAAGAAAGTCGATTCTTTAAAGATCCGTTCATTGAATGTTTTCAGTTCTCTTATGCATTTTATACTAATTTTATTTCACTCTAAACGTGCTATTAAAAATGTAAACCATACACCCAATCCTCGACTTTATCCTTTTTTCGAAATTGACAGCGAATTTGAGTCCGAAATTGCTTCGGTTAAGCATCATTCGACACACATTCATATCGAGCCATTATCCATATTTATGAGAAATGAAGAGTCGTTGAATATTACATTTTCTGAGATTTTGCAGGCTCCTACGTATATTTCATTCCATAAACTGCTTGAAAAAACCCCTCTGAAACTTGCCTCCCGCACAAGTTTCCCGCTTTTCCGGCATGTCATGACGGAGAAGTGACTAAACATGGCATACCCTCGTGTAAACATCAATTCCGTGTCCCAACTTTTATATACAATATCTTTAAATGAATGTGCGTATAATTTTGAGTTGTGGCGGGAAAATTCTCTGGCTGTTCGCTTGTCCAATAAAAAGACATCTAATCATCGTCAACGCGAAAGAGCATAAAAATTCATTCACGCGACAACGATTTACGAGGTACACGAGGAAAAATTTCCTTATTGTCGCTACCTATTACCGAAATTAACAAATTTACCAATTAATTGGTTCAAAAATAGACTCCCAATTGGAATATCTTTCCCCTAAGCGACGCGTCACTTTCTCATGGGCACGAGCCATATGAAATTAATTTCAGCCACGAGTGACTTTCTTCATCTCCAATTTCATTGCCGAAGAGGTCTCGTTTGCAGCATATTTTCATTGTCACTTTTCATTTTTCCCCTTCTCAATACTCTCCCAAATCCATCTTGTGGCTCGTGGCATTTTCACTACATGGGCAAACAATTTGTCTGCTCAGTTTCTGGCTTTGGGATCGAATGGGGGCTAAATATGAGTTGATGATTGGTGGAATCATGTGAAAATTGACAAGTGAAAAATTGATTTTCACAACATAAATCGTTTCAGTGGGAGAGATCAAAATATTTACTCATGCGAGTTTTCGGATGAGGACCATTCGATTGTGTTGATTTATAGTGCCGCTATTTCAGATTAAAGGCAAGATTAAATTCTGAAGGATATTGCAAAATAGCATGATTTTACATTGAAGCTGAAGCGTGAAAGTATTTTTGGTGAAATGGACTTAAACATGGAAATTGCAGTGTATTCGATATTCTGCTAGATCTGAATTATTTTGCTTTAACTTTTATTCCACATTTTTAGTATAAAGATTTTCTTGAAGTGCCCAGTCAGATCAAGATGATTGTCTTTCTGATCGAACGCACGCACAATATTTTATATTGACACACGAAATCATGCACACAGGAGAAGAGAAACCTAACAACGAAAAGGGTGTTTGTACATCAATAAAGGTTAATTAAGACATCATTTCACGGTAAACAAGAGAGGTAACAACAACTGAAGTCAGAGTAGAAAATCCTCAATTCTTTCATTTATCCACATCAATTCATCTCGTTTTTGCCGCTTCATCGAAGCATTTGGGTTGGAGTGTTTGAATAGCAGGGCCAAATTGATAGTCAAATAATGGCAAATGACTTTCCACTATTTGCCCAAATATGATTCCATCTTGAACGTGGCGAAATGATAGAAGAGAAAGTGCTTCAATTTAATGGATACGACGCCCTTATTTCCGCCGCGGAAAAAAACGTCTGCGATGGGGGAAATTGTTATGAGAAAATTGAATCTCGTCGCTGCGATAAATATTGTATGAGTACATTGTGTATTGCTTGTGCCCAATTGAAAATTAATTTAATTGGTATAAGGTGAGTAAAATGTAAACATTTTTCCAGACGAGAACCGAAGCAATGAAATTTGTATTCGAACATTGAAGAGTTAGAGTTGGAAAAAGCACACAATTCTCTGGCCTTTAATTTTGAAGGTGAAATGAAATTCAATTAATGTAATGAAACCACCTTCAGATGATTTTTTCCGTGCGCCCTCTTCTGCGGTACAATGTGGTAAACCATAAACCTTTGTCCAGAAGTGAAACTCTGTGGATTTCGTGGGGTTGTTATTCAAGACGGGGAAATTTTTATAAATTACGTGAATGCATTGGTGGTTTTTCACCACACTTGGCGTCAGAGGCGAACAAATCCCGGCAGAAGGGGCGGATTTTCCAGAGTAGTTTGAAAAGTGACAGAAACATGAAATATGTGGGATCCTTTGTCGGCTATCGAGAGCAAAGTGGCGTGCAGAAGAAAGGAATTTCTGTTCAGTGTGGTTATATTCTTAAGGCGTGGTGAACGTGTGGGTTAATGAAAATGGCGACACTAAACGCAATCCCGGGAGAATTTTCACATTTTCCAACAATGATCCATTGTTGAGGGTAAATAATTTCCTTTCTAGCTTATTTTCCTTCCCTTTTCCACACACACACACACACACACACACACACACACACACACACACACATTTCGCCAATCCTTATTAGCTGCAAACAAAAATATGGGTAGAAGAATGCTAGAATAATAAAAGTCTTTTTCGATACATTTGCTGGCGAAGACGCACCCAAAGTTGCGCCTCAGTGTGAGGTTCATTCCACTCTGGGTCATTCATTTGGGGTGGCTTCGTTGCTGGCACTCATGTGAGAATAGGGTGGAAAATATGAAAAGGAAATCCTCCCAAGGGAATGGAGCTTAATTGTGGCATATAGAATTTATTGAATATACATTTCGATAGCGCTCCTTTTGCCCCAGCAATCAAGCAGCGTGCGTGTGCCAGAGGAAGAATTCATCCTAATTAAGCTATTTGTATCATCGCACTTCATGAGAAATCTTCCCGAAAATTCTTATCCATAATTCATCAACAAGATATAAAATTGATCTTTTCTTCTGCTTGAAGGAGAATTTATTCATTGATTGATTATTTCTGGAGAGATTTTTAGAGATAATTACGCTATTGCATAACTTTTCACCCTCATTACACTCTCATGAAATGTGCACATTTCCACATAACTTGATTTTCTATTAAAATCATTATTGGAAAAGTTACAAAAGCAAGTAATTTTCATGTGAGTTTTAAAGCAAGTAATTTATCTTCGACTCTAAAGTTTACGAACAATCCGTTATCTATACATTATCTATGTAACATTTGCAAATATTTACTTTTCTCAGTGTATCAGAATTCGTGGTAAATCTGCAAGATTAATAGGGAGCTTTAATTTATATCATCTATAGCCGGGGATGATGGAGAAAGTTTTCCGAACGGAAATAAATAAAAGTTTTAGCCTCCAGCAAGTGTGAGCTGAAAGCAGAGTGTAATGCGAAAGCTCTTATTTTTGGAATCAAAGTGAAATTTTACTTCATTCTCCACGAGACACGGCATTGCCAATGAAGCGATGTGGAGCTCCAAATATCTCTCATGGAGTTCACATAATTCCCCAATTAACAGCCAAATAATGAACTTTTGAACTTTTAATGGGTTTCTGCATTAATTTTGGACATTTTAAATCTGCCGATGATTCCACTGTTAATGAAGTAGAGAATCGCAATGGATACTGAAAATATTCGAAACGCGTCTCATTAGTTAATCTTGGGAAAATTTACACTATTATTAAATTCTCGAAATTTTCACTATCATCAGATATTGTGGGTCTTGCAAAATACTCCACTTACTTAACTGTAAATTTTATAACATCATGAGAGACGAAATTTGCAAATATTGAAATAGTTTAATGGTTGAGTTGGGAAAATGTGAATATTCCATCAAAGTCAGAATTTGTATTATATCATCCGTATACCATTGATATTTAATAGCGAAATTGTTGATCCCTTCAACAGTTCGTCAATTCAATTGGAAAGGGAATTTCTTTCGAATCGCGAGTTCATTGATTTAAGAGCAAATGTATAAAATGCAGAAGCTCTCCCATTTTTCATGCACTCTTACGCATCAGTGAGCAAGAAGTGTGACTGCAAAGATTGAGTTTTCTCCGTTTTCCGTTCAGACGTGCACCATGTTCTTTCTCACGTTGTATTTCTCACATTTGCCCTGGAGGAAGTGAAAAGTCGTGATATATTTCAGTCCGCCCGGAGTATATAAGAACACAATAAATCGCTAAAATGTCAACTTCTTATTCATCAAAGTATACAAACAACCTTCGAATGTTGAATTTTGCTGGGGAAACATCCACCAGTCACACCGGGGATAAATCATTGTAACCTGAAGGAGGATTAAGTGAGCTTTTGCACAAGAGACAATTTCATTCATGCCATGATATGGATCCTTGTGAGTATTTCTTTGGCTTACTTAATCGTTAACTTAATGGTGGAATATTTGATGACACATTATTGTTATGGAAATTTCTCTATTTTCCCTGTGCGATGGTTTTCATCCACAACGTCACCTGTAAAAGTGTCGTGCAAGTGTAGAGAGATTACTATCAAGAATTTTATTGCCAGGAAAAAACTGGCAATTAAATTTTACATAAATTTGTGTGTTGGGAACACCTTTCACGTTGGAATTTCCACGTATATTTCATTTCCTTTTATTGTTATTGTCGCTATCAGTGGCGGAATTGGGTCAAATGTTTCCTTCAGCCATTCACCTCATTTACGATAGCATATGTCACTTGCAAAGTGGTTCTGCATCATCAGCAGAAAGTGCTTCAAGATTTCTCTCTCTCTCTCTCTCACTATTATGGAAGGATTTCGCACTTGGATTACAAGTTATAAATTTTGATGTATATGCAGAGATAATTCACAATATAGGATTTAAGATGTGAATTATGTTGAGAAACTTTCTGATGTTCTATTCCAATTCGCTTCTGGAGATCATTTTAGGACGGACAATAAGGCAATTTGCTTCACAAAATTGTATGCTTTATTTTTGACTATAAAAATATTCACAGAACAATGAGCCTCTTTATGCCGTGTCGGCTTTAATATAAATGCAGCAATTATATTAAAGCTAGTCCGACATGGACTTAAAAGTCGGCTCAAACTGCGCGGTGGCGCATGCGTGTGGGCTGTCAAATTCTCACACACATCTTCACTGAACGTCATTCGTGACTGCGCGTCGCGTTGCAACATGATTCGATTTCAGTTTAAGCGCGTGTGTCCCGGTATCAACGCCATGGACTAAAATAAAGCCGAATATTGTTAAATGCTACATTAATGATAAATGCAGCATTTAACTTGGCCGGCATAAAGAGGCTCAATGTTTTCCCCAGCAAATCCTTGTACACAGTCGAAGTGGGGAGGAGAAAAAACGCGACTGGGTGTGACCATTAGACGGCGCTCAAGATAATAACTGGGGGGCTAATAGGAAAAGTAGCAGAATTAATAGGCGACACACAGAGTTATTGTCTGTGAAATGTTGCGAAATAGAGTATAGAGATACCTCAGAGGGCAGGGATGAATTATGTAGGAAAGGTGAGTCGAATTTGTTTGTGTGACTCCACGAATGGGAATTTGTGACCCAAACGCCGCGCCCGCAATAATCGCACATGATATATTGTGATGAAGAGATAGGTGTGCAGGAGCCAAGGTGAAATGATGTACACTTTCGGGTATGTTTTCTCATTAATGAGAACCATCACGCAAATTGAGCTTGTTGCAAAATTTCCACCGAAAACCGCCACTGTCCCAGTGGCTATTATGACCTCGGCTCACCTTTGCTCTCCGCATCATGATGGATATTTGGTGGATCACTGAGGAATGGTGTAAACATTTCCTGGTCTACTCCCTTTGCGCGATTTTTGCGCAACTTCGCCCACATGGACATGTAATATGATGGAAAATTCGTTTTTCATAGCCCGTGGCACGCCTCATGGGAAATTGATAATGATTTATTTCAACGCGAGAACCAACTAGCATTCATCACAACCACACACACACACACATTTCGAAGAATCCCACTTTTTATCATCCCATATGTATTTTATTCAAATCAATCTTCAGCCCTCGCTTATTTCGCATTTGCTCACCGCCATCAATTAGGCAAATTGCCACAGGATAGAGATCAAGGGGATAATTATTGTCAAATAAATGTGCCCCACCGCGGTGTTATTTATCGTGTGCTATTTTTCAAGGTTTCCACAAACCACAGGGGAAACCTTTTCATTTGGACAAAGTAAAAGCATTGCGATGCACATGTTTGAGTAACGAGAGAATGCATGGAAAATCAGCAACATGTTACAGCTTGAAGGAAGGGTCCAAAATGATAAATGATGAGAGATTTTTGAGAATCAATAAGCTTTACCTTACTTGCTCCGTGCATCAGTGGTTTTTGTGCTAAGTTAGCTCTCAAAGGGAAAATTTGCTAATGAAAATACTCTAATTTCGCTGAATTTCCGGATAGAAAATTGTTTCATTCGTTCTAAAATGGGAATTTTCACAAATTGAGTTAAATGTTAGCGATTGCAAGCCCTTCATTTTTAGAATATTCCCTGATGATATTAGCATATTGTGTGGCGTGTGGGGAAAAATCTGATGAAAATGTCCCCCCATGGATGGTCATTTGAGTGACACATGAGCGATTTGTGATTGAATTCTGCGTTGGGTGGAAGAAAGTTAATTTGCAAGCGGCGGAAACCGTTGGCAAATTAATTGATTTATCGGTTCAGGTTCACACTTTGATGACACCGATCCTACGCCGATAGACAAATTGGGTTGTTTCGCAAAAATCTCACCCACTCTCAAATCTGAGTTTAACTGAATATCCAATGACTTTTTTCCTCATCAACTCAGCTACGCTGGATGGAATTTCATGTGTGGCATTTGAATTTGATTTGTCAGGACATTTTTCCGATTTTTTTTTCATGCTGAACTTGCCAAATTTGTGTACATGCAATGGACTCCGAAGGCATGTTATATCAATGTGACTCTGATGACATCTTTTCGGGTGTTGTGCGAAATGTGCGTCTCCACGTGGCAATTCTTCAGGATTTTATCGCTTTCTGATCTCCTAATGACAGTTTTACGATAATCCACGGTCGTAGTGAAGCACCCGAAGACACATAAGAGTCATTTAAAAATTTATCACATTCCCAGTGGTGACTCTTCGTGTCGCAATGTCCGTGCCATCCCATAAAGTCACGGAGTTTTGCTCCGTGGACCTGCAATAAACTCTTGTGGTCTTCGCAGTACAAGCTAGTCGAGTCATAAATGATATTTTTATTGACACATTCACACTCCCACCTCTCTGTGGCATTCCGCCCTAAAACTGGGCCACTGATCTGGACAAAGCTGTCGGAAAATGTTTCAAGTGAAAATCAAACTGTTTTACGACACACTCTCCGTCTTTTTTCTCGTTGCAGGTCTGGGCACACTTGCACTCCGCAATGTGACGCTAATTGTTGATCCACCGGCTGTTCGACGCTCCCACAATGCCAAGTTGCTATGTCTCTACGATCTCGAAGGTGCTCCTCTCTACTCAGTCAAATTCTACAGAGGCTTAAGGGAGTTCTATCGATATCTGCCCAGCGAGACGCCAAAGAACAAGATCTTTCCTTTCCCAGGAATACATGTTGATGTGAGTATGACTTCAACGAAATCAAAAAGTAAAAATTCTCAACAGCAATTCAAAAGCTCAACGTAAAGAATGCTCGGAATGTCCAAATGCCAAATATTGTGACCAAAAATTGAGAGGGTTTGTGCGGTCTATCCTGCAGAGCAATTAAGGGTAAATCAGACCTTTTGAGAGTTACACCCTTTTTAATAGAGACTCTAATTATTACATACAAATCCCGAGACTATAATTGATATGGCGCCAAATGTGTATATTCCTTGCTACGCACAATTTATGCAGAAGCCCTCTTTGTGTCTCTTTGCAGTACTCCCTCTCCAATGCCAGTCAAGTGGTTATTCGGAATGTAGGCTTCGGATTGTCTGGCAATTTTTCGTGTGAAGTATCAGCTGACGCACCATCCTTCTCCACGGCGATGGCTCACATTCAGATGCAAGTTGTGGGTAAGTATTTTGTGTTCTTCCAGGAAGAGTTTTGCCTTATCACGATGTCAGCTCGTTTTGGGGGTTGATTTAGTGAACTTTCTCACTCATCACTTTCACACTATTCTTGTGGGATTCGGCGCTATCGTAGCGAGATCGGCGCTTCAAGATAAATTCATCCGACAGTCTTATGTAGGGGAGTTCAAAGAGAATTGTTATCGCATGTGATAGATAGTAGGAAACAATTGCAATCCCCAGAGAGTCGAAAAGCTGGATGGGTGAAGAGAAGAGGTTGATAATGTGGAGATTTATTTATGTTGTGGGCCATACTTACTGTTTTAATGAAAGAAATATTGGCGACGTGCGCATCTGTCCCATATACCTTCATACCAATTGCTGGGTGAAGCAGGTAGATGGTGTAAGAGAGCTTCGAGAATTGCTGTATAAATCTCCTTGTGGATAACCACTCAAACCACCTGCCATAGCCCCAATGACAAATCACAATAATTCCACCCATGATAAGGCCATAGAGGATTCTTCCGCCGGACATGAATAACTGCATGAGGATTTTCGGCTGATCGGGATCCATTGCCACGGTGACAGTGAAAAATCCGAGAATAGCACTCCAAATGATTGCCGTGTGGCGTGGCGATAGATAAATCCGTCGGCCGCGTGTCACGTGGAGAATAAATCCCAGCATCATGCCTGATTGGTAGGAGGATATTCTCGTCCATGGCTTTATATACACCATGTCAGCGTCGCGGAAGGCGTCCAAGAACCTGCGGATGATTCATAGAGTCAGACTATTTCACGCCAAGTCACGACGTGCTAAAGCACTGTTACTTCATCGAGGTGTTGCAGCGATACATGATGATGAATGACGCAGTCACGGTGGCTGCCGTCGAGACCACGAATGTGACAATTCCCCACCTGCGCGACCTGGAAAGGTGTAAAAATGACACTCTTAGGAGAATGTTGTGAAATGTGGTGAAGAATACAAACTTTGAGTAGATGAAGAGCAGCACGAGACTGTAGATGTAGAATTGCATCTCACATGCCAAGGACCATGTCCACTTGAAGAGATAAGTGTGAATGAATTTAATAAATGTACACTTGAAAAATTGCTACGGCGATAAGACATCTGAACACTTATTTATTCTGTTTAACATTGCATTTTTGACCTTTTTATCAATAATAACTACTGAAATAGTTTATAATTTATCAAATATACATTAAAAACTCACCACAAATGAAATCTCTGCGTGTGGGATGAAATTTTGGATGTAGAGAAGATTGTAGTGCCAACTGAGGAAGATAAATAATAGTTTTTAGCGGAGGGAGAAGAATAGAAAATTCATTGTTCACTCACTTAATATTATTAAAACCGAAGCTCTCTCGATAGTCCCGGAAGACGGTGTCATTGTTGGAGAGATAGGTAAGACGAGAAATAAGCATGGCAATAAAGGCAATTGGAGTCAATCGAATATACCGATGAGAGAGATACCTCAGGAAGACGCCACAATTCCTCCGGAATCCATTCGATCTAATTTCCTCTCCGAGTTGCTCGTTCTTCAGGAAGTTGAAGGTAGAGAGGAAGCCACCAATTATGAAGAAGACATCCACGGACAACATTCCTCGCCACAAGAAGAGAAAGCGGGGCTTCAGGAGGGACACTGAAGACACCGTGAGGCTGTCCGAGAGCCACAGCTGCAGGAACATTACATGCACCACAATCACCCAAACTGATGACACAGTTCTCAGGAGATTGAGTGACACAATGGTGTTGGCACTCACTTCATTATTCATAAGACATCTAAAGTTTTGCCGAATAGAAAAACATGATATCATTCTGCTGAGGATATTCATGTGCTCGCGTGGCTTTGATTCCAGTCGATGGGCGAAGAAGCATAGCGATAGTGTGGCGAAGAGAAGAGTGCTGCAAAGTTTGGTTCAATGTTAAATATTCCTTCTGTGTGAACTCTGCGAGGAATTTTGCTCACCCGGCAATTAGAAACGTGAAATCTCCAGTAAAGTCCCCATGAGGCTTTATCTCTATGACTCTCTCTACGGTCACATTGGTCTTGATAATTCCAAATGTGGGATTTTGCCCGAAATAGTCCTGCGTGACTCTCATTAGAAATTCGTTTGAGCAGGATTTCGGAATGCAGAGACCGACGTGAAGGAGTGGCGAAAAGAGCAATTTCAGTGCAATCCGAAGATCCCCTTCAATTTTCCCCATCACAATACGATAATTAACTTCAACAGGTGAAATTGCATTCAATACTCTCCAGTGTCTCGAGCCTAGTTCCGGATCATCGGTTGTGGCGATATGCAAGGGTGAATTTGCTCCTCGGCAGGCAATTTCCGATCCCAACCAGAAGTTGGATCCCAACATGAATGCCGGATTCCTTCTCCCGGAAGCATCCAAAACTGTTAGCATAAGTAATTTGATTACGTCATTATTAAGGTTCGTGATTTAATGAACTATACACACTCCCTTACTCTTGAGAGCCCAGATTTCTCTGTCGAAGACTCCTGTCAAAATTGTGGAAATATCTCTGTGGCAACTTGATGTGGAATCCTCAGTGAGACTTTGGTTAAAGATGCCCAGAAGTAGCGGAATTTCTCGCATGAAGTTCAAATCCGGGGCCACTGGAACTTCCCTCGAGGCATTTAATGGTGAAATTAGCACGAACCACAAGAACCATGCTTTCATCGTGCGCGAACTTACGGAAAACTTTCAAACGCATCGATTCAAGGAGGAGGCAATAATCACAACGCGCGAGATGTGAACAGAGACTAAACTTCATGTCTGGCATGTTAATAAAATCCACTTCGGGCAGTCACTTGATGATAGTGGGGAATAATTGTGAGACGCAAGAGGCAAGGTCAGGCACTTGTGTTCGGAAAAATAACTTAATATCTACTCGTAAACTGAGAATCTCTTGATTCTTCACTATGATTAATTTTGCGAAAATCCTGAGCATTTTCCAGATTAATTTTACATGCTTTCGTAAAAGGAATCTCGTGAATATATATATTTCTCTACGACGGATAATCCAATTGAGATGCAGCAAAAAGATGAACTTTTCCGACATTTCATATAAAAGCAGAGAAATTCTTGAGATGCATTAAGTGATTGAAAATCAGCTAAATGAACGTCGCATTGTGTTGCTTTCCCTTTCCAACGTCAATGCATTGTTTTTTGCAAAATTGCTTGACCTGTGAGACACTCTTCTTAAGAGATTTGCAAGTGATTTCTCAGGTCGTAAATACATGTTATTTGCATAGTGTTCAAGGGAATGATTTAATTGCTATAGCGCCATGTATTGAATTTATCTTTTAATCCCAGTGTGAAAAGAGTGATTTCTATTACCCTGTCTGCATAAGACGACAAAAATTGCATACAATCTAAACAATAGTCGAAATACTCTAAAAATCATTGAACACCATTAAGTGAAAGAGACACGAGAAGGACATTTTTGTGAAATATCGTCCAATCCTTGGCAATCATAAGCTATATAGGGGCATTTTCCAGCCATTTCCAGTCCATTTTGATGGTATTATATATATATATTTGAATTTGTTGATAGAATGGCACCATTTCCTCTTTTCTCCATGCATTGAAATGTGTGTATATTTATGAGCAACTCAGAAGTCCATCAGAAATCAGCACCATATAAACATTAAATGCAATAATCGCATGATTACATTCGTCAGTGGTCGCATTTTGGCACTCTATACCTACATTCGCTGGAGAGCTTTCAGCATATTGATTCCATCTGGCAGCGAGCAATCTCGCACAGTCGCCCTCCAAAAGCACACACTCGTCCGCACTAAGGTCCCGCCATTCGTAATGTGGGGACAATTTAGATGGGAAAATTGGAAAACGTGATCGCGTTGACTGATGACGATAATGATAACGTTATATTCTGTATTTTAAATGGCGTTGTTTGATTGTCAATCGTGCTGTCGATATTTGCGAAATCATCCCACCCACTTTCGATGCTCATCTTACGCAACCTCTTTTATCATCTGACGAGCACATCCCTCGCGCCGGGCTCCAGATGGGGTGTATAGAGAGTGAGAGAGAGAGAGAGGAAATTATTCTAATTTGCCCATTTGACTCCCCGAAAAGACAACCACGCAACTTCCTCAAATATTTGCATGGGCCACAACAGGATGAGGTGAATTTAATTTGTCTACCAACAATTGAATAAAATAATTATGTGAGCTTTTCTTCTGGCTCCCCGTCTGACTCTTTAATGAGCCCCATAACATCTGAAGCGAGAATTCCATGACACTTTCGTGTAATTTGAGGGAGGTGAATGTGGATAAAAACTCGGCACATGACATAAAATTCGACCAGGGCGTTTAGAGAAGCTCTCTCGCTGTTTCTGGCTGATTTACCAACTATCTCCAAATTGCTATTTGTCCTCTTGTATCGACTCAGTGAATTCGGTGTTCGTGGAGCACCAATTGATTTTCAATCCCCTGCAGATCAAATGAACACACCACTGGATATGGCAAAGAGAATTCCAACGTGATCTGCTTTTTGTGTCATCAACCCATATCCCGCGCTGACATAATCCCCGGCCAAAACGACTCACTTTGAACATGAATATTTTCTGAGAGAGGGTGGAAAAATAATTGGATGAAACACAAACATTTCCATTTAATTAGGAGGTGGATGTCTTTCAATTTCCCAACATTTGCATGGATAACCCAACATGAAAGAGCCACGCAAGACTATTAGTAACAATAAAATAAAAACACTCTAATGAACATGCTAAAATTCCCATAATTGTGTATTTCTGACATCTTTTCCAATGCACATATTGTGATGTGTGTCTCCTTCTGATTGTATTGCCAAATGTACAACCTGTTTTTATCCTTCTTAGTTGTCAAAAGCAAAAGAACAAAACTTAGAGAGCGGCACGTAAGTGTCTCTAAGCACTACTGCTACGTGCTTTCATGTATGGATTTGTGTGGTATTATTCATGTTCTCCCTGCTTAATAATGCAATTTCAGAGCAACATCCTTTAAAGCCTCCTTTAGATGATTCTGGGGCACATATAATAAACGGAGTATCAGGCAATTGGATGTCAGATTACGACGCTGAGATTATTGGGTCAAGTTTTGGCCTTTAATTACTCCTTGTCCGGAGATTGGTGAACAATTTTATGGACTTGTGAGGCGTCTTTAATGAAATTCCCAACTCAATAAAATCTCCCATCCGACAGCAGAAGAGGTGTAAATCTGCAATTCCATTAGAAATCTCTGTATGTCTCCTCGAGAGGATCTGAGGATATAAACACTCATTGGCGAAATCACACAGGGTGATACAAATCACATTCCATCTGGTGGCAGTTGTTTTCAATTATGTGCATATTTATCTCCAGCTCCGTCGCACTATCTGGAGTGGATTCAGCGGGACGTCAAGTGAGTGGGAAGAAATGGAGCGACAGAGTGATTTAGATGGTCTATCTCTACGGCATTTTGTGTTGTCATTAAAGCCTCCCAAAAAGACAGTGTGGGACGAATAAATGGGTTTGAGTTGGAAACACATTGAAAAATTTATGTGAAGCACCTTTGTCGTATGCCTAATGCTTCCCTGCATCCTGACACTGTCCCAGCACATGTGCGAGAGCGAGAGCTTTAAGCTCCCGAGCCATCCACTTGGAGGAATTGCTGTGTTTCGTGCAGGGGAAGAATTGAGTATTCTGTGTGAAATATGGCCCAGAGTGTGACCCACCGTGGCCTCGTGTTCACATCGTTGTCACACATTGTGGTGACACATCTTAGGAGTTTTGGTGTAAACCACGACTGAAGCGGCAGCTTCAGAGCTTTTCCGAGTGGCACCAGGCGTCAACTATTCCACATCCACCACCCACTGGGGCTTCTGGGCGGGGGTGGAATTTGTTTAAGCGACACAAAGTGCCCAAATCCCTCCAGCACACGCCACAATGGAGAGAGAGAGCGCTTTTGCCGAGAGTGAGACATGCGAGAGATCGGGCTGTAGTTGGTGACTTTGGCAGAGATGTTACAGCCAGGGGAGCAACATCAATTCCCCACAGATGCCCAGAAAAATAGATTATTTTGCGCGTACGGAAATTACTGTCACGTGTGCTGGCAGGAAGCAAAGAGTTTTCTGTGTTATTATAAAGGCGAATGCTTGGAACAATAAATGGTCACATTTGGAATGTATATTGATGTTCATATGAAAGCATTAGCTTTCGGATGAAAACACAATTTTATTTAAAGTTTTGAGAAGTCTAAGTTTTAATCACATACACAAGTGTGTAAACATAATCATAATTGTGTGAAACAGAGCGGAAATTTTTTAATTTTTATTTCACTCAACAGTTTATTATTAAAAAAAAAGTTAATTTATGGCAATTATCTTTGTCGCTTTTATGAACACTGGAGAACTTAAGCAGCATATAATTGCAAATATTTTCTTTGAGGATTGCTAAGGTAAAACTTTCTGTTTGCACATTATTTGTGAGTTTATGATGGATTTAAAGAAGACAATTCATTTGCAAAAACTTTGTGTTTCTTCCTTGAAAGTTTAACGAAAGTTTTCTTTTGGTACTTATTGAATTTTATAAAGTCTAGCAAATATTTCATTGCAGTAAAATGTTATGGATGAAGGAGACTTAATGCATAACTCGTTTCATGCAATCTTCGTTTGTTTAAATCTCTTTGTCCAAATGTACTGAAATTGACTTTAAATTTCTTTATCCCACTCCTCTGGAGGCTCATTTTAGTATGTGATATGTAAATTTCTCCACAAAGTGAATGAAGTTTGGCTTGATAAAATTGCATTGTGCCACATGAAAGGACAAGCATGGAGGAGTAACACCTTCTTAGGTTATGCTGCTGTGATGTATGCTCAAGTAACCGCAAAGATGGGCTGAATCTTGTATGTGAGAAACGCCTGAGGGATGCCTTCTATTGAACTTTGTGTGCACTGTTGTGTGGTATATTTCTTATTATGAAATTCAAACCAAATTTTCCTGGCAACTCTCCGCACAATATTTAATGTATTCGGGAAATTTCTTGCAAAATCCAATATAAGCTAATGAAATAGCACATGGAGTTTGAAAGCTCTATTTACCTATGCAGCAGCATTGTTTACCACATGAGTGAACCCACCGCAAAGTTTTCACCAACAATCAACGACAAAAATCTCCACCATTCCTAAATTTACATTGAATATACACATAAGTTATTGCAATTTGCCAAAAGTTTGAACTACTGAAATGTTGCCACTTCTAATATGTGTGAAATTTTGCATTTGCAGAACTCCCAGAGAAGCAGCCCTCACTTTGGACTGAGCACGACAGGTATGAGCCAGGTGATGTACTCAGAGCCAATTGCACCTGTCCACCGTCACGACCGAAAGCTGATTTAACTTTAACTCTCAATAATATTGTGGTAAGTGAAAATTTGCATTTAAATTCAATTTTCGACAGACATCAGCTCTTGTTTTTGCAATCGAGCCCATCCCTAAATGCCCCCCTGAAAGAAATTTCAATTAATTTTGAGATTTGGAGTTTTCGAATTTTTTGAAAGAGAACTCATTGCGAATGTTTGCGCGTGACATTAATATGTGAGCACGTTTTCATGAATTTTAACATGTTTGACACAGAGATTTTTCCTTTTTTAAATTGACTTTTCATTTATCGACATCATGTTGAGCCAAATAAATGGCATTGTTTGAAAAATCATTATTTTGATTTTGAATTCTCTGTCATAAGTGATTTGCAATTATTTTATAAATTGATCTAGGTGAAATATCAGAGAAGATATGCAATTATTTCATACACTCTCTCAAATGACTTGTGTGCGAGTAAATTAATATACGATTTTAATTAGTATCAGCCTATTTGAAATTCACAGAAGCAAATTCAGCGTGAGCAATTTTCCGAATATTCTCACGTTTCCTCTGTAGTGAATCACTAATTTCCACATTCATGTTAATTTGGTAAATTGATATTTTCCATCTTAACATAAATATAATTTGCAATGAAGACGCTATATTTGACCAGTAATATGAATTTTAGTGAGAAACTCTATGCAAAACTATTAATGAAACCAATTTAATTCATTTTATGAAACTAAACCTATGAGCACTAATAAATGCAACGACTTTATTTGCATTATATCGTGAAATGCATCATATTTCATATGAGTCTAATTGTCTATGAATGCAACAATTTAGGCTATATTTAAATCAATTATGAGAGTATCATTTGATTATTATTTTGCTCTGGGTATTAATGGAATTTACGATGCAAAGTGAATGTTTTCAAATTATCTATCATTTATCGGTTTTAAGCGTTTTAAAACACCCAAAATATCCAACATTTACTAAACACTATCAAGGATATTTATTGTCAAATGTTGTGTTGGTGCCTGACTTTCACATGGTTTAAACTTTTACAGTGAGAAGGAGACAAGAGAGTGCCAAAACAGCTATAATCCCAGTATAAATAGTCTAATAGAAAAAAAGCGTCTCCATAATTACTGTTAAATCTTTCATGGAAGATACATTGTGGCAATTTAGCGAGCGACCCGAGGAAATGGGAAAATGTAGAAACGCAAGCAATGTCTAAAATTCCTCTAATTACACAAGGAAGTTGCTTGAAAATGCTAATACGGTTGAAAGACTTGGAGTGAGTACACAAAAGGTCATGTGCTTTACAGCAGAATGGTCACCCCTGGAATAAGGTGAAATGGTAGTCTTTCATTTGGATCCATTAGAGCCACCCACTCGGCCAATTTAGCCCACAGTAAAAGGGGGTCATTGTCTGGCAGTGGAGAGAAAAAATGTTACTGTGCCAAAAGTGACAATTTTCTTTATGTTTTTCTATCTCATGATTTTTTTTTCCATTTCCTCCTAAATGGAATTCTTCCGCATTCTAATGCCGCACACTGGGGAAGGAAAGATTGCTCCTGGGACAGTGGAAATTTGTACCTCAGCAGAGCGCAAAGTGGTTAATTGCAAGCGCGCAGGAGCATAAAGGAAAGAGGATATCAAAGAACTTGTGCAAGAATTGGAAATAACACCATCATTTCTTTTGATTTCGCCTTTCCTGCGGCCTTATATTTTTCGTCTTCTGTGGCGAAACACCTCCCTATTCATCTTGTCCCCTTTGTCAGGTGTATGGTAAGCGAAGAGGATTTTCCCATCTGATTCCTTTGGTCGCTTTTGTGTCATATCTCAATTGTCATTGTTGGAATTCTTGAAAAATTCTTCATCATTGAATTACAACATATTGTGCTGTTCTGTGGAAATATATACACATTTCACGTAGGTATCGTATCGATTCAAGATTTACAATGATTTAACGTGAAGCATCCGTCTTGAACGATGATAAAGCACTGAAGGAATCGAACCTGCATTACACGCTCTATAAAAGGATATATTTTGGCGGATTTCCCGAGGCAATTGTAAAGATGGCAATGAATAATAATTCAAAATTTCACAGTATGTATTTTTCTGAAGCTACACTTCTAACAAAGTAAGTAGTCTTGATAGTTGTTTCACAAACTTCTTCCCTTCTTTGTCCAATACATTCGTCTGTCCTTTCGACCAAGGTGACGGTCTTCGTGGAATTTCAATGGTCATGGAAATGTGTCATGAGATGAAATTTACAGGCGAAACTTCGTCTACACAATTTATTCAGCAATTTTGTTATGTAATGGTCACATATGGAAACTTTACCCTTTGACACAATAACGACCAAGTTCTATTGAATCTCTTCTAAATCTTGATGTGTTTATTTGCAGCTTTTTAACTACCACTCTGCTTATAATGTCATTTTTGCAATGTCCATCTACATTTATTAACTTAATAGTTTAATGTTGAAATTTAATTGCTATCGCCAATTAAATTTCATCAAATGAAATTAACGATTCAAAATTCAGAGCAGTAATTTTTCCATGTCATTAATTTGAAAATATTGTTTTACACTTCCTGGGCAATTTTAATGTTTAATTGTCTGTACAATGAACGCTAAATCCTCTATATCCTGCATGTAATTAGATCCATGATTTTTTTTTCTAACCTCTGTTTAGCCATTTGTGAGAACAAATTGACAGATCTGTAGAGCCTAGCAGAGTCGAAGAAGTTTTTTTTTCTATCGCGAAATCCATCTCTCGGAATCCCTGAAGAAAGTGATAAAGTGGGGAAATCCAGTTTGTACATGTTTTGGTGGAAAAATCCCAAATCGTTTGTCTTTCGATCACCCTCACTCTGAGGCATGTACTTAATCTTCTTCCCTCTTTGGACCTGTCACACGCGTCGAATTTAAACCTAATTCGACTGTGGCCACGCTTCTATTTTTAATCCCACTGCCAGAGAGCATCTTGACGCCGTCATATCAATCGTGAATGATGGATAGAATTTTTGGAGGGATTTTTTCACGGGCGCATTTTACCCCGCCTCATTATGCCGCAATGCTCAATTGTAGCTGCGGTTGACGTGAATGAGTTCCATGAATTAACGTGAAATTAGCCTGGGATTTCGGCGGAGTGCTTAATTCTTTTCAATTTTTGCGTGTGCTCTAAAGGTCATTGCGGGGGCACCTTTGCGTGCCTGTGAACAGGTTGTGTTAAGTGAAAAATGTGTGTGCTTGAGGAAATTTAAAAATTTCCAAATACTGCATTTGATGGATATTTTTCTGGGATGTGGAGTACTTTAAATATGTATGAGAAAATGTAGCATTTTGTGTGAGGAATATGAAAAGGAGGAAGCAGAATCTAATGCAGACTTTGGATGAGTTCCAGGAATTGGCTTATGCTCTGTGCCATTGGCAATTGGTACCGGATACAAATTTGGCATTAAATGGGTGCCAAATGAATGGGTGTTGGGAACGAATGTATCTTCTTGTTTTTCCCAGCAATTCCTTCAGCTTTTCCACCCAACAACCCAGAAAGCTTGCACCAGTCAAGTGCGATGAGAGTGTTTTCGCGGAAGAAGTGAGGGCAGAAAACTTTTCCACCCTCGTGGCGAAAATAAAATTTCCTCAGATGCAACTATATACAGTGCACATATTCAATTGCCACTGAGCATTTGATTTATTCTGCCATACGATGGAGAATAAGGATGGAATAAATTTCAGATTATTAATTCTCCTCCACTTCCTCTGTTATCGTCAACTTGCGAACTATTTCTTTGTAATCAACTCACCACAAGGGGCATACATATTTGGCATCCCACACAAAATGGAAATATCTTCAACAAAAAGCACCCCCAAGTTCTCCAGAAAAAAAAACTTTTTCGCAAGATCTCCGTCAATTTTTCTTCTGTCTGATTTCTCTCGAGGTGTTCTTTGTGTTTGTTCTCCACTCACAATCCAATTAGTTCATATTTTCAGTGCTCTTTTGATGGTAGAAGTTGTCGTAAATAAATTCTCCTGAATCCCTGTTGTGAGTGAAAATGAATAATCACTGTTCTGCAGAATGTAAGGAAAAACTGTTTGAAGGTGATTTCTTTCCATTTTTGCCTCTCCAGAGAGAGTGCGAGACGAAATCTGGGCCTAATTTGTAAAGTTGGGATTTATGACTTTTCCTAATCGAATCAAATTGGTTTCCTTGTCGTCTATCTTCATGCCATGTTCCACCCACTACGCCGAATTTTTACATTTCCACTTTGTCGCCATTAATCTGATTTAACTGCTCGCTCAGGAAATATCGAACTCAATATTGAAGTCAGCTGTTAAGATCTAGTCAAGATTCGGAAGATCCAGCAAAGTAAAAATAATTTACAAATGAGATAAATTAATCACTGACATATCGCAAGTTCGAGCTCACGCTGTTTTTGCCACTCACGGACGTTGTCTTTTGTTACGTGATTGAAAAAGACTGGAGTCCTGGGTGTAAAAGCAAAACAGGGAGAAAGTAGGGAAGAGACATGCATTAATAAAGGTGTGGCACTTTCTATTCCATTAAAAATCACTGAAGTGGTGTAACAAATTGGGATATTATTCTTTTGCACCCTTCAATTTATGGCTGGAAACCATTCATTCTTCTCGGTTTTCACGTGGCAAAGATTGGACAAACAGAGCATTGAAATTGATATTTTTCACTGTAATTAACAAACAGATATTGGCAAGTAGACAAACATGGGCAAAATCGTGAAACGCATATTAAGAATCTTTGGTAAATATTCCTTTTAAGGCAAAAACGAAAAGCAACCCTTCGAGGATTGAGTTTCATTCAACGATTTCTCTATATACATTTTGAGAAGGGGTAAAACGACCATGTCAGAAAATCAGCAAATACTTCTTCTTTCTGCCCAAAATATGGGGTGACAATGAAATGAACTTGTCTAGTCTTTCATCACGAGAAACACGAGATATTTTCCAAGTAAGCAATTTTTGTTCCCACTTCCAGAAATAGATTTTCAGAGACTATACACTTTTGTCCAT